ATCCACTGGAGCTCCGGAATCTTCCCCTAATATAGACATGGGTAATAAACTTTTTTTTGGGGGGGGGGATGGGGGTGGGGGAAATGTTAAGCATTATCCAGGGGGAACCGCCCTCCGTCCCCTTGAATAAATGCTTTATGAAGTTTTTGAAACCGAGAAAAGATCCATTCCATCCTTCTTCTTTTCTCCAGTTTTCTTTTCGTTTCTTCTAATTTTCTTTCCTTTTCCTCTCTTCTTTTTCTACCTTTTGTGTGTGTTGTGTGTGTTGTAAAGTTTGAGGGCAGTACGCAAGTTTTACAATTACCATAGACAGTTGGGAAGACCCTAAACTTACGCCCCCACCTCCAACAACCATGGCTTTGTTTCAAAAGAGCCGAACCATCAACAAGGAGAAGAAAAAACAGTCCCTTATAGGTATATAGTGAGAGTTTTTTGTTTAAAGGGTTTTAGTATGAGTTTAAAAAACAAATGGCTTTATAAATCAAAGCAAACAAAGTGGAAGAGGGGGTAACCTCGCTATTCGTAAGGACCGCTACTCATAAAACTGAAAGGGGGTCACTATAATAAAGGGCGTAAGGACCGCTATTCAAAATAAAGGTTTTCGCGTCATGTAGCGTACAAAGAGGTAATGCGATCCGAATATGAACCAAACATTTACATCCTTTTTGTTGGGATGTGGTTGGGGTAGTGGACCGTGTGGTCAGGGGCGTCGCTAAAGGGGGGTGTGAGACACCCCCGTCTCCCCTCCCCGCACTTGTCAAGATATTGTCGGTAAAATTGCGCTGCTGTCGGGAAAAATGAGAAAAGGGTAGGGGGGAATGAGATGGAAAGGGAAAGAAAAGAAAAAAAGAAAAGGAAAAGAAAGAAAGGAGGAGAAGAGAAGAATGAAAGAGAAAATAAAACAAGTGGAAGGAGAGGAAACAAAGGAAAAGAAAGAAAAGAAAGAAAAGAAGAAAGGGAAAAAAGAGAAGAAAACAAACGGGGGATGAAAGAGAGGAGAGAGAGAGGAGGGGTGGGAGTAAGAGAGAGAGGGGATGTTTGGTGGAGTCGCCACGTCGAGAGATCAAGAATGATGCATACGCATAGATATGTTGCTGTGTGGGGTCCGCTGTTTCGGTATTCTTGCTCGATCCTCGTGTACTATATCAATGCAGAAGTTAATTCGGTGGGATGTATTATGTCGGTCGGCCGGCATTTTTTTCCCCTACGAACTGTGACTTTTTATCGGACAAAGAAACATTTTTGAAAATTCAGACAATGATTAAGAGTCGTGCAACGAATCGTCTACTTTCTAAAATAATTTAATGAAACGTGAAAGATTCCGCGCTTTGCGCGGGAGGGGGCAACCGAATTAAGACTATAGGATTAGGAGTCGAGAACGGTACAACCAATCGTCTTCTTTCTCAATGATTTAATGAAGCGGCAAAACTTCCGCGCCTCGCGCCGTAGGGGGGAAACTGAATTCAGACAAGGATTAAGAATCGAAAACATTATAACGAATCCTCTTCTTTCTCTAATAATTTAATGAAATGTCAAAGCTTCGCTCAGGAGGGGGGCAACTGAATTCATGCAGACTAGGATTAAGAGTCGAGAACGGTACAACGAATCGTCTTCTTTCTCTAATAATTTAATGAAATGTTAAAGCTTCAGCGCTTCGTGCGGGAGGGGGGGGGGGACTGAATTCAGTCTAGGATTAAGAATCAAGAACGGTACAACGAATCGTCTTCTTTCTCTAATAAATTTAAAAAACGGCAAAGCGGAAGAGGCCGGGAACTGAATTCAGACAAGGATTAGGAATGGAAAACTGTACAACGAATCGTCTTCTCTTTCTAATAATTAAAAAAAAAAGGCAAAGCGGAAGAGGCCGGGAACTGCGATTGAGAATTTCTTTCTCTAATATTAATTTAATGAAATGTCAAAGCTTCAGCGCTCCGCGTGGGAGGGGGAAAACTAAATTCAGAATAGGATTTACGAGTCGGGAAAGGTATAACGAATCGTCTTCTTTCTATAACAATATAATGATATGTCAAAGCTTTCGCACTGAAAAATAGTTTAGCTCTTAGCCCCGTGTTTATAGGGTGAAATGTGTTGACATTGGGACATTGGCATTAGTATATTTGTCGGTAATAATATTGGAGGCTAGTTTTGTCGATAATCGGTGGCCCCTACACCCCCCCCCCTCTCCGCCCCCTTGAAAAAGGTCTAGCGACGCCTTGTGGTGATGGGTCAGGAGGTTTTGATAAGGTCTAGTGCGAAAAATAAATAAAAATAAATGCCGTGATGAATTTGTTTTTGTTTTTAATTGGGGTGGGATATCTAGCCCTCCTCGTAGCAACAAGGGGGCAGGATATAATGATGAATACATAACAAACACACAAAAAAACGGAATGTAAATACAAATGTGCATGCAGGTTCAGGAAAGTTAATATTAATTAATTCGAGACCTGATAAATCCTAAGCAACTGATAAAATACACGTAATAATTATTCAAATACACGTATGCATCCATACAGGTTCACACACAAAATATAAAGAGTCAATGACATTAAATAGCCAAATCAAAATAAAAAATTACAATAAAGGGAACAAAACAAACGAGGAGTAAGGCTGATGTGAATTGTCATTAAACAAGATAGATCATTATAAAACAAACACATCTACATTATGAAATATTACCCCTCGCCTTTTACGCTTATGATGACGACTCGGACATTCAGATGTCAGACATTCATATTTATTTCTATGGGCCTGATGAGGTGGTTTGCTTGTAAACTATCTCGTCCTGTCACGAAAGTAAATGTTCATAATGTTTTCGACAAATATTCGGGGCCATGTGTCGTCCCCCCCCCCCCAGAGCTACGCCACAGCCAACTTTTCCCTTTCTTATCATTTTGTTTGCTATGTAATTTTTATGACTAGCAACCCTCTTCTCGTATTATGAATAGCGACCCTTATTTTGTATTATGAATAGGGACCCTTAGGCCTATGAATTTCGACCCGATTTTGTATTATAGCGAGTACGACCCTCTTCTCATATTATGAATAGCAACCCTCATTTTCGATTATGAATCGGGGTCCTTAAATATGAATGATGACCCTTATGAATAATGACCCTTTTCTCAAATTAAGAATCAACAACAATATATCCAAAGAAATCTAAAGAAATCGGGAATATAAATAATAATGTTTATATTAGCAAGCTTGAAGTAAATATCAGAATTAGAAGAAGAACAAATATTAATACGTGCTATTTCTGTTTTTAAAATCCCCACTGTACTACTTGTAGCTAAATTGGCCCTCTGGAGAGAAAACAACGCCTAAACGCCGGGTGCCCGTTGGTCACCCATGATCCTCTTATGTTAATCGAGAGCTGAGTTGATGAGATAGCCACCTGTCAGTGACCACGCTGTGTGGTCTAACCCCCCCTCCCCCCTGGCCAAACTAGTATAGACGGGCTTTAACATCCTGACTAAAATGTCGCAAAGTTTTCCACATTATTTTGCGTGGCAGCCCAAAAGAGGCTGACTGAATTTAAAATGATGCAGTGACATTATTTTGTTTAGATCGAATTTGATAATGGTGCATACCGTGCGGCTAGGGGCGGCGATTTCTTTTCACGACCGGGGGGGGGGGGGCAAAATGCGAGGGACGAGGGAGCAGTGGCGTAATGGGGGGGGGGGGGCAGAAAAGAATCCGCATCACCATCACTCTTACATGTTACGCAGGTCCTGGCTAAAGTATTTACGATCAGGTAGATCAAGCCGAGCGAAGCAAGTGGACCGTAAATTGCATGGCGTGGGGTCAAGGAGCAGAGGCCCGGCAGGGGGGTCAAGGGGCGGAGCCCTATGAAACTCCGGAAGGTCAGGGGTTTTAGGCATTACATTACGATCAGAAGAGCATCCAGTGGCCGCCTTAGGGCCCATGGGGGTGTCCAGGGGGAGAGCCCCCGAAGCTCAGGAATTTTAGGCATTTAATTACGGTCAGATTAGCAACCAGGGGCTGCTTTAAGGGCCCTTGGTGAGGTCCAGGGGGCAGAGCCCCCGGAAGGTCAGGGAAAATGCCATTTCAGCAACATTTGTAAATCACTGGTATCGAATTAGAAATAAACCACGTTTGAATGACATTTTTTGAGGGGGGACTTCCCCAAAGCTCCCCCCCCCCCCCATCAATACGCAATTGCGAGGGAGCGTAGTGAATGAGAGGGACTGCGCCTTACAGATTTTTGAAGTTTTGGTTGTATTAAAAAATTACATTTCTTAGCAAAACTATAGTATAAAAACAAGCAATAAACTTTTTTCACACTTCGTTTTGCTCAGTATTTACTTGTACATTAATTTTAGAAGGTTATTATGCAAGGGAACGTAGCTTCCGAGTGAAAAGATTTTTGCATTTTTATTTGTCTAAACGCTGCACTTTTGGGCCCTCCAGAACCTAAGTTAGTTGCAGTCTTTAGTATTTGCTACCTTTTTCGGGGGCACTTTTTCAAATTTTGAGGGGGGGAGGGACGATCCCCCTTTAAAAAAATGAGGGGAGACGTGTCCCCCCCCCAAAAAAAAAAAACGTTCCCCGCCTCCTCCCCCCCCCCCCACCGCCCAACCCCCCTGCCCCCCCCCCCCCCCCCCCCCCCCTGATACCGTGCATGAAGCCAGGATTTGTTTACTATTACAGCACTCGACCGATGGTCAACACAAATCCGAAAAATACTCTAACTCTGAAGCAAACAAGAAAGGAAAAATTTAGAAACAAAAATATAATAATGACCCTGGATGAGAGACTACGTAACTTGTCCTGTAAAAAAAAATGAATATACTTCGGATACGTTTTTAGAATAATGCTCTTTCGCACCAGTGGGATTCGCATTCGGCGACAATCTCCATGCCTTTTACACTATAATGAATCGCTAGTTTCATAAAGTCGTCATTAAATTGGCACCGTTAAATTGGCCTTTTTCGGATACCAATAATCTACGTGATTCCGGCCAGGATCAACGCACGGATGAGTTAGGGATGATAATAAAGATGCTTGGTTCCTTGTAAGAGTAGACTACAGCCGTGCAGAGCAGGTACATCTTCTTCTTCCAATAATAGCACGTCTATAGTGACAGAAATGTAAATCAGGTAAATCTTAACTCCAATTAAGATTCATTTTTAGAGTATTACATTTATTGCCCTTCTGTCGTGGATGCGCCATGGACGTGAGAGAGCCAGGCCCAGAGGGCCAGACCCGGCCCGTGCTACATCATTATTTATAAAATGGCTCTAGTATTTTAAGCATCGTGATTGGTCAATACGCGTCACATGGCATTGACAAATTTTTGATGCAAGCACGATTTTGCAGAAATGAGTGCAGAAAAAGCGCAGTAAAAAGTTATATTGCACGGCGCGTACGTGACCATGGAGATCCAGTGCGCGCGCGTACGCGTAGTACTAGTACGCTCCCTCGAGTGCATTGTAGGCTATAGGCTACGCGCGTAGCTAATATTGTACGCTCCACCATGATCCCCAGCTCAGCGTACGCGTAGCTTAGCTCTAGTCTAGCTAGAGCGGGGTATTATTAGAAAGCAAATTTTTGTTTTACTTTTGCCTTGGATTTAGACCCGTTTTGACTTTTGGATTTTATAATGAAGCTAGCCAGGAATTTCAGCTGTCTGATGTACGTAGACTCGTCTCTAGACACCCTATGCATTTTATTTTTAATCAAACAATGAATCCCGTGGACTTTTTGGTAAGCCTGCAAGGTCTTAGACCCTCATTTTATTTCTAGAACCAACATAACTCTAACACTTAGATCTAGATCGAACTCTCGTATTACTATTATAAAAGATCTAAACTTTTGTTTGTTGCTGTTTGTGTCGCTATTTTATAAAACAAATAACGCACTTGACCCTGTTGTGCGAAACGTAAATGCAGTGTTCACTCGGTTTCTTCAGATGGTTCGCACTGTCAACTCGCCGCAAGCGGCTCGTTGCACAGAGCGGCACCAATCTAAAGAAACCTCGCGCGTACTGCATTCACCGCTATTGCACTCTGGGACGTGCGTTATTTGTATAATGCACCGCGGCCGCGCACCGCATCATCATTATTGAATTATTCATATCCTGGCCTAAGCTTGGCAGTGAAATGGTAGAATTTATGATGATTTATATGTTTTCTTGAGTTTATTTAACCAGATTTTGATTAAGTGATGGTAACCTTTAATTGGAGTAGTCTATAACTTAAGTTTGAAGAATTAATGTGTCAAAAATGATGCTGATCCCTTTTCTATTTTATTTATGATTTTACTTTTTCAACAGGTGTTTACCGACTCTATATTGGCTATGCACATGAAAAAAAGGTATCCAGTTCATCATCATCATCATGTGAATGTAATGCCAGTCAATTAGAGAAAATGGCTGGTGACGGACAAGAATGGGAAGAAGTAATCATTCTTCAGAACCAGGATGGAGAACCGATTGCTAAGAAAAGAATGGATGTGAACGGAGAACAGGGTAGGAAATCTGAATCAGACGTGAATGGATCCAGAGACGCTGGGAGTGGTGCACTGGACAGGGACGTCCTGAGTCACCTGTCGATCATGTCGATGAAGGCGGGTCTTTCTTTCTCACCACAAAGTGACTGGACGAAGGTCTGCAAAGAAAGGACAAGTCAGAGGTCGAGAGACGATGATGAAGAGGAGGATGAAGAGGAGGAAGACGATAATCCATTGAATGTTGTCCCTGCTGATGGGTAAGGAAAATGGATGTCATAATTCAGGGGAAATCCCTAGTGACTGTGGGATTGTTTAAAAAAATATGTATTTCATTGATTTTTCATTTAATATGACATACATGTACATGTACATGTATGTCATTGATTGTTGCTCCTACATTTATGGATACAAAAATGAAGGTTATGAGAGGGTATGTACATGTAAAAGCACAAGTTTACAATAATAATTGAGGGCAAAACTATGGGAAATGTAGAAAAATTGAATTGATGAAATGTCTAGTTCAAAACACATGAACAGCTGCTCACATTGGTTATCCCACAGTCATTTTGTCAATTTGAATAAAAATCCCTGCAACTTTCTTACCAGGGGCGGATCTAGCTTTTTGCTAAGGGGGGGGTTGAACAATAATGACGATGCGAAGCATCGTCCACGAGCCGCAAAGCGGCGAACCGATTTTTTTTGGGGGTGTTTATTTCAACCCCGTAAGTGATGTTTTCCTGGCATCTATTAACACAATGGAGACCATAAAAAGCAGTGCATGATAACGTCTTTTTAAATCAAGTAACAGTTAAATACACAGTTATATCCAGAGTTATCATGTGTTTGGTAAGTTACCAGATGAGTTGAATATCTTCTCACAATATTTGCACTTGAAAGGGTTTCTCTCCAGCGTGTGTTCTTTTTTCTTTCTTTTTTTTTTTTTTTTTTTTTTTCTTTCTTTTTTTTTTCCTTTTTTTTTTTTTTTTTTTGGGCCGCCCAAGGGGGGGGGGGGGGGTTTAAACCCCCTAAACCCCCCCCCCCCCCCCCGTAGATCCGCGCCTGCTTACCTTGCAGGTTAGTTAATTGGACTTTCCTCAAACATTTACAGATCTTTTTCCCTCATTTTTCTGCCTTTATCAAAAACAACTTGTTTCCAGGGGTTTCACTCCCCCTTTAAGTTGAAGTTTGTAATTGGTTTGTCACACCTAGTAATAGCGACAGTAATTAATGTGACAGTCAGGCTAACCATCGTCTAGTGCCCTCTAGTGGTGACTGCGAATCGTATGAATGGAAGTTGCAGCAGGTTAATCACAGTCTAGTTCCCTCTATTGGTAGTGTCATGACAAAATAGTGATCTGTGGCCAAGATTTGTTAAATCCTCAGGGTAATTTATCATAGATCTTTGTTGTATAATGACAAATCTTGCATTTCAAAGGTAGTATTTTGATGTAGTTCGACAAGATCACCCAAAGTTGAACTGTGAAATGTTTATTAATTTTCGTGTATCTAAAAGAATGTGAGAAAATATTTTACCTAAAGTTTAGTTTAAAGAATAGTGATCATTGTTAAGTCAGGGAAAATTAAGGTTCATTCGAAATAAGTGAAATGCGGTAAAATTACCCAGTATCTGTTGTTACCCCTAATCTAACAATTAACATCCTTCATGTACATGACACATGTGCATATATACGGTATGTACATGTAGGAAACACAAGGAGTAAATAGCTTGTAAAAAATACTTGTGAACTTGGTGACGCTTGAAGACTTAATTGATTTGCATGGGTAGGACTACATGTATGACCAACACATCATGAGACTTTGCTAAAATCAGTATTCACGGTGAATGGCAAAAGGTGACATTTTTTATGAGTTACAGACTTCAGGTTATCTGATTTATACTTGGGCTGAATGCCATGCCCTATGGGATATGTGCATACATTTATACACATGTACATGTATAATCTCCTGCTTAATTCCAAGTGCTAATTTGTCTGCGTCAACGTCTAAGAATATCGTCACCCAAGGCCACTGCGATTTCTGCAGACTTAATGTACTACAAATACATGACCACATGCTTCTTAAAATTAATGATGAATACCGGTAATATTCATTTGAGCTATACACTTCTTCTAGTGTATATTCGGTGCTTTTGGTGAGAGATTGATACCTTCAGCAGACTTTTAGGCAAACTATTTAGTGTTTACATCCAAAATTTGCATATACATGTACATGTACCTTGTTTTAACATTTTATCTCTCACACTGATCTACTGGTAAACCTTCAAACTGTAAATTACAGAAATCTAATGGTAGGCCTAATGATTTGATTTGTACACATAGACCCATGTTAATCTTTCCTTGTTGATAATCCAAACTACCCCCTGCATAATTACTAACTACTCAATTCCCTCCCCCCCCCCCATGAAGTACACCTCACCTCACGTATCCCCAGATCCCCCAACCCCCCCCCCCCCTTCCCACCTAAATAAAAATATATCTCTCATAATGTGCAATTGATCCCGTACACTATTTTGAGACTTGAGTTGCAGAATAAAGAACTAATGACAAGAAGGTCTTGGAACTTTATGGGCTGAGTACGATACATTTTAAAAACTGTATCCCTTACAACATAAATGTACTTTACCTTACTTCTCGTCTGAAAACCCTGAATAATAGCAGGTGTGCGTCATGATTTTCACCTTTCACAGGAAGGCAGTAAATCCTCATCGCAAACAAAGCATAGTACTCGTAAGATTGAAAAGACGATGAGTTTCCACAAGCAGTCTTTAGTCGCTTTGAAACGATCTTGCATGGATGTGTTCACCTTGCTGCTGCTCTTTCACCAGTGCACAACTGTGGGGCAAAGTTTCTGTGTCAAAATTAAGCTACTGGTATTTAATTCTTGTAAACAAATAATACATGTTCAAGTATTATAAAAGGAAGTCTTATAATCAAGTGTGTTCAAGATTTTGGACATTTTTCTAATGAAATCTTAATTGCAAAATGCAAACTAAGATCCACGCCCCCTCTCATTCCCAGGACCCGCACCACACAACACCACCCCATCCCTACCTACAGTGTACTACTCAGCCCGCCCCTCACCCACCTCACCTGCCTCACCCGCCTCACCTGCCTCACCTGCCCCTCACCCCCCCTCACCCCCCTCACCCCCCCCCCCCACCCCTCACCCACCTCACCCCTCCCCTCCCCTCACCCCCTCACCCCCCCCCCCCCCTCACCCCTCACCCCCCCTCACCCCCCTCACCTGCCCTCACCTGCCCCTCACCCCTCACCCACCTCACCCCTCCCCTCACCACCCCTCCCCTCCCCTCACCCCCTCACCCACCTCACCCCTCCCCTCCCCTCACCCCCCCTCACCCCCCCCCCCCCCCTCACCTGCCCTCACCTGCCCCTCACCCCCTCACCCACCTCACCCCTCCCCTCACCACCCCTCCCCTCCCCTCACCCCCTCACCCACCTCACCCCTCCCCTCCCCTCACCCCCCTCACTCCCCCCCTCACCTGCCCTCACCTGCCCCTCACCCCCTCACCCCCTCACCCACCTCACCCCTCCCCTCACCCCCTCACCCCCCCCCCCCCTCTCACCTCCTCACCCCCTTCCCAATTTATACCCAGGACTCATCCGGTCACCCTCCCCATTGCTCTTGGACCCACCCCTCGCACTGAACAATGTTCCCCTTCACGTCACACAGCATACATTTTGTGGAAATTAGATTAAACCTAAAGAGCATAGCGGTAAACAAGGCCAGGGCAGGAAGTGTTTGGTTGGGACTGGTAAAACAGGAGAATTAAAGAGACCTGTAATTTAGTTGTCATGTTTTCTTTGACAGCATGAACAAGGTATGAAGAAAATGGTAATAGAAATGATCCCTTTGTAACTTTGTAAGGTTTTTTTTTCTTAATTTCAGAAGCCGCTGGCCATATATCCTTAATAAAAAATGGTTTTCTTGAAACCTCATACATTGTAGGTACAGATAATAAAAAAAAACGAGGACATTCAGAACAAAAGAAAATTTGTTTGTTCATACATGTATGGCAACCAAGAGTTTATAAACATGAAATATGTATATTACTAGACCAAACATTAATTTTCAGTATGGCTAATTAGAATTGGTAATGTACACCCATATCTACCAGTTGATCAGCTAATTAATTCAAACATGTGATGAATTCATTAAACAAAATTGAAGAAATTGGGGATTTAAATGATCTTGATGGCCTGAAACCCTTGAATCAGTGTAATGTAAACTCAACCATTCACGTACCATGCAGGGTTACATGCAGGATGTACATTGTCCCTACCAACCTACATGTACGCGCGCATGCAGTATCTCACCAGAGTACCAGACACTCTGCTGTTGACAGCTGCGATTAGCCCGATGTGTCATTGGTTCTAGAGGTTCACTCCGAGGGCAGCTTAACCACTCATAGCTTGGAATGCCTTATTGCCGTAATACACGTAGCTCTTTAGACTCTCATAATCCATCGTAAGAGCTGGGAGTCGCCCTACGCCTTCTTTTTCGTCAAAAAGCACATGAAGATGTCATTTTTCGAGGGACAAAATTAGTCTAATGAACATATGAAATGGATTTGTTTGGACAAATTTAGTTCAGCTCATGGATGCATTGGTTGAAGTCGAGTTGCTTTTGAGAAACGACTTGACTTGAGAATCATTTTTGGTGTTGGCCTGGATCGAGCTGTCGAGGTTCCTTTGAAAGTGGTGCATTGTTAGTGGAAGTAACTATGGCATTGATTGTGGCAAACTTGATGCGAATACTGAAGCATCTGATTGGAGGCTGTTTAAAACCAAAGAAAAAGCGGTAAGCCTGGTGACCAACGTCCATTGATACATTTAGGCTTTTATCTTTTGTCATTCTAAAATTCCCCTTAAGAACATTTTGTTGAAGGGTAGGGAATAAATTTCCTCTCTAAGAAGCAGCATCATTCTATTATCTTGTCCGTAAGTTAATAGTTGGAGTGAAAGAGAATACAATTAGTTGACGTCTTCTTCTTTGTCATGTAGTAAAATCCCGAAAAATCTTTTGTCAATCTATCATTGTTTTCTTCCTCTCACTTTAGATTGACCGTCCTGGATATTCTCCCTTGGGAAGATGTTTTAGTCTCCAGAATTCTGCCCTTCATGAGCCTCACAGACTTGTTTCAGTTGCGACAGGTGTCCTGCGGTTGCCGAGATGCTGTAGCGATATTCTTTGCCTCCAATCATCACCTTGACCTGTCTGCTGTAGGACCTGAATTCACCCAGGATGCCTTTCGCGTTGTATCTGCTGAGGCAAAGAACCTCACCACGCTGAACGTTGCCAATTGCAAGAAGTGGATCACTGACGATCTAATCCTGCCCGTCATCGAAGCGAATAGAAACCTGCGGGATATCAGCATCTCTGAGAACTCGAGTCTGTCGACCAACGTGGTGCGGAGGATAGCCACCAGGTGTCCAGACCTGTGCAGCCTGTCCCTTGCAGAGTGTCAACAGGTGACGTCGACATCTGTTGAGTGTGTCGGGATGAACTGTGACCAGCTGGAGCACCTGGACCTCAGGGGATGCTGGGCTATGGACGATGATACTCTCAGTCTGGTCCTGCAGCTACACCCACAGCTGAAGTGGTTGTCTGTAGCCAGAGCGTATGGTGTTACAGATCTTCTTGTGGATCAGATATGTACGTACTGTCCAAACATTGAGTACTTGGATGTTGAAGGGTGCTGGAGAATCACAGATGCTGCAATTCGGTAAGTGGTTTTTTTTTGTTGTTGTAATTTACTGTACACATTACTACCACATTACTGAGAATCTCTGTCTTCTTCTCCTGTTTGATGAGATGTATTCTTATAAGGTAAATAACTTAATATTACTTGTCAAATGTATGGCCTGCTGACAAGCAAAACTACAGCATTCTTGAGGAATATGATTACTTATATATTGAATGGCTTTGAGTGTGATACAAGAATATATTGCTCGAGCTATGACAATATTGGACGAGTCAAAGACGAGTCTAATATTGCCTTAGCAAGGGCAATTTATTCTTGTACTGTATCAAAAGATAACAAAGCCATTCAATATTATTATTATCTATATTATCCTGACTAGTGAAATAACAAAATTTGACTTACTGTACCATGGTAATATTGATTTGTTTTCGTGTGATATCAATATCGATAGTTGAAGTTCCCGGAGAACTGAGCAATACAGAGACAATATTGGTCAGTAACCGGGTACTGCGCTAAAGATATTGAATGCACTGATTTATTGTACCACTTAAAAGCCTTACATAGATAATAATACCTAATATTGTCCTTTCATTTTATAAGCTTATTTGTATAATAATAATAATAATAATAATAATAATAATAATAATAATATGTCTTGTTTACCCAGGGTAGCCTCATCAGTATTCATACTGTTCTCCCTGAGGGCCCTGCAATCATATTATTACCCCGGTCATCAGATTCATCTTTGTCAATGTCAATTAAATTGAAGATTAATGAAGCAATACATGTACATGTAGCTTAGACTAAGCACTGAAAACAAATAATTGCATAATTGAAGCACATTTTTTATTTCAGAAACATTGAAAAGCTGATAATGAAATGAAATGTGATACTACATGTATTAGAGAGTTGACTTTGGATGGCCTCTCTTCCAGCATTGAATATCTATTTTGTACCCTCCTTTTCCCCATTTATTTATTTGAACAGCCAATTATGGAACTTGGAGAGCCTGAAAACTTTAAAAGTTAAAGACTGTCGCTATATTACAGAGAGAAGTCTCGCGAGGTTCCGCGCCAAAGGGGTTCAGATTGATGTATTGCTTCCAGAAGAGAGCGATCTCGCCAAGTTAGAGCGCCATCTACGGGCTAGGGAGTTTGGACGAGCAAGGAGTATACCACCCAACTTTGCGTTATGATGTCATCATGCATTGTATTTCAGTCTACATACGAATGTACATGTACTGTATGTGCCACAGTTAATTTAACGTATATTTAAAACAAGAACAAAACCCCAAGAACATGGCATTTTTAAAATAAAAACTGTTATTTCTTTTATTTTCTTCAATAGTAATTTTGTACTATGCACAAATGAATTGATATGAAAAAAGTGTCCTCAATGGGTTTCATAAGTTTAAAGTACAGTACAGGATAGTGAATTTATATGTACATTGCACATGTATAAGGAAGCAGAGTTGAGAGTTGGTATTCAGAGTTGGTTTGATATAATGCATGTCATTGCATGATGCACTGGCAAGTTCTCAAATTCTCATTCCCATCTGTTATCAAATATCAACTACTACAGAACAGTATATATCAGTTCAATTTGTTTTGTTTTTGTAGGGGATGGGGGGGGGGGGGGTCTTTGGTTTGTCACTTAACAATATTTTCTAGTTTAAAAGCGACGACGTTACATTCCAGCAGTATGTTTTCAAAATGTATTTGGTTCTGGTTTGAATCTACATCTAGCACATTCAATAACACAATGTGATATTCCACACTTACACTGTATACATGTATACATATACATAGGAAAGTATGTATTTGAGTATGAACATGTATACCAGAAATGTTTGTTTTGCACAGTGCCTTGTTAAAGTTTAAATATTTGACGTTTGTTTTATAGTAACACAGTTGGAGAGACAAAAACATGTAGAGGTGTTGTGGTCTAGTTGATAAGTCTTCGGATAGTGCACCACTACATGTAGGTACGGGGTTTGAATCCCTGTCGCAGCACTAACGTCCTTTGGCAAGACATTAATCCTACATTTGCCACACTCGACCCGGGTGGAGTGAGTGAGTGCCTGGTAGGATTCATATTTCATTCCTTGAATGCACTGAGCACTACGGTTGCCGGAGCTAAAGCCAGGGTAATAATATCCAAAGTCCTGCAGATGCTCATTAGAGATTTTTTATATGCACTATACAAGAACAGCATATTATCATTCTTATCATGTAACAAAACTGTCATAAGAAGCAAGAATTCAGATTATACATGTACATTTAATGTAGATATCTGGCAAGTATTTTATTTGTACCAGATTAAACAGATCATTGTATACTATAGGCCTTTGGTCTCTGAAACACGAGTAAGACAAGTTTTCGCGAGCATAGCTGAAGACATATTGAATATTTTCAAAACACTTTAAATTACGTTAATATATTTCTATTTTTACTTGGCCCTTACCTAGCTTTTATACTTTTTCTACCAGAATTGTTTTGGTAGGCATTATTTATTCTTGACCATTAATAATTATGTTTCATTTGATTCTGTGGTAATATATTTTCTGACATTACTAGAACATAATATTTGATTTAGTGCAAGCTAATCTTTGACACAGAGATAATCTATTGATTACAATTTGTAATTGAACACCATAATCTGGAAGCTGTAATCCAATATTAAGTGAGTTAATGTGGAAATACATATTGGTATAAAGTAAAATGATAACTCATGTGAACTGTGAAAAGTGTACAACAGATATAATTTCAATATTCAATGTTGTGATATTTGAAACTCCATTGATAATTTGCCAACAAACTTCAGAGTTTTATAGGAAGTTGTATTTAATGTTCCCATATTGTAACAGGAGATACTCCATGATCTTTGAAAAGTTTAATTTAAGATATTATTTCAACATCCAATATTTCATGTTGTGATCTTGGATGCTGCAATTGATCATCTATTAATTATAATTTGCCACCAAACACCGGGTTTGTATCGGAAGTAGCAATTATGTGTTCCTAGATTTAATGTAACATATATTTGTCATGAATTAAGAAAAGTTAATGTGGAAGATATTATTTCAATATCCCATATTAAATGTTATTTGATACTAATAATCTACAATATTAATGCTAATTTGCAACCAAACTCCTGGTATTTATCGGAAGTTGTAATTCTGCACTCCTTAATCCTAGATTCAATGTAAAACGATATCTGATGAACTTTTTAAAATGTATTAAAGATATCATGTATCAATATCAAATATTTAATGTTAAAGGTGATATTCGACACTCCAGTAATTTATTGATTGTAAAAATTTGCCACCAAACACCAGTTTTGTATTGTCAGTTCTTAGATTTTATGTAACAGGAGAGTTTTCATGCACATTGAAAAGTTTATTTAAAAGAAAGCTTTTCAATATGAATATTGAATGTGAAGTGATATCAGAAACTCAAGGAAATTTTTAAACTGCAATTTCCTTCATCTTGTACCAGATTTACATGTATATGGGGAAGTTGTAATCACATGTTCCTATGTTCATGACCAACAGATATCAATACATTTAATGAAAGATCAATATCTGGACTTATTACACGAGATTGAGTATTAACATAATTTGGTTCTATGAATAGAAAAGGGAGACCGAAAATACATCTCTACCAAGATTTCCTTCAAGACTTTGTGTGTGAGTGAACTTTAAGTTTAACCATACTCAGAATCAAAGGAAATAGTCATCTGGAAATAGTTTTGATGTAAGATATTTATAATCAGTTTTATTTTACTCTTTCTGAAAGATATAAATAGACAGATTTATATATTATACAGGTATATATAGTCACAAACAATCAAGAACAGAATTGAACAAACATACAATTTGAGAAGGATGATCAACAATTATAGTATTTTCTTGTTTCACACAGCAACATGTAATTAAACTTTTGAATATTAAAATATTATATATTATATTATTTGGCACGTGGAATTCTGTTTGTACTGCATGAGACCCATCAAGTTGTTTTCTATTCTTATAACATTAAATATTGCCAATTTGATGAATACTAAAACAAATGTGCAGTTATGATTGGAACGAATTATTGTATTTTTTAAAATCTAAGTTTTTAATATGAATACTCTGTATATTGAATCAAAATCCTGGGATCCGTTTCACAAAGCATTTTTTCAATGACAAATGACAAAAATCAATGACAAATCTGCTGATAACCAATCAGAAGCAAGGATTTCAATAGCTTATAACAAAAACTGTCATTTGTCACTAATGACAGTTGACAAGTTTTGTGAAATGGGGCCCAGGATTAAATATCTCGGATAGATTTGCATTTACATGTAGTTACAGACATATCTTCTGCCTTTTGAAAAGCTAGTAAAAAAGAAGCTTTGCAATGAATTAGTTTTAAGGAAACCTCCACTGTAAGTTAAGTAATACATGTAGTAATACTGTCAATTAATAGGTCTACTGATAAAAAAGTTGCTTTTGTCAGTATTTAACATGCGCAGTCCACAAGTAAACCAGTCAATTTAGTAACATTGTCATTCAACATGCATAATGAGAAGAGTATCTTGTCTACAGTTAAGTTATGCAGTTTTAGAAGGACAACTTGTGACACATTTTGATGTCATCTACCTGGTTAAAAAGTGTTAGTATTCATACCGACATCTCACATTCAGCATTGAGCACTTTGGGTCCACAGACAGGCAGGTTGTAATTGGTTGCTTCCTAAGTATTAAACCATCTAGGGTTTCATGGGTACTGTCCAGTATCCCTTATAACATAGGGGCACCCCACAGATTGCAGGAAACATATTACGTAATGCAGACTCCCACACACTATTGTCTAGCTTCTTTCAATTGTTCTCTCTTAATGCGAAGGTCGAGTTCTGATAAATATGATGAATGAGTAGCAAATTTTCCTCTTCTTGCACATGAACACATTGGTACAAAACATCTTCGAACCTCTTAAAAGTACAGGATTTTAACACTATACATGTAATTTGTGAAGATAAATGTTAAAATTGAATGAAAAACATTTTTATAGACATACACTTTGCTTTTGTTTTCATTTTACTGTAAATGTAACTACCACATACTGTAGTTTGTTGAGAGCCAGAATGGCATTAACTCATATACTTTAAATTAGAGATAATGCCTTCCTGGCTCTTAACACATTAAATTGTGTTTCATATTATGTATAAATAATACGTATTCAAAGAGGTTTGTGAAAGACAGGTGAAATTTACGGACAAGGCGTTCACTGGCAAATCACGGTATGCATCACGGCAGTGTATTATCCTGATATATTTGATATATAACAAGTGCTGGCACAAAGAAACAATATGTATGTCCTTTATGTAGTATGTGTGTGACACAATACAATATAAAAATGTGAATTAAATGTCACTTGAAAGCTGTAATTCTAATGACTCTTGTGTTGTTCCTGGTGTTTTCTTCATTGTTCACTCTACTCTCACTTGGTTCTATACACAACAAACAACCCAAAGCTGTTTGGGATTCTAAATGTGGCGAAACTTTTTATAGAAAAAAAAGATGAATGTGATAGATGGGTGAAATGTTCTGGTCCATGTGAAGTTATGCGCTTCATTATATTTGTATTTGATTTACTTCAAACTTTTGATATACTGCCTCATTGTGAATAGGCACTATTACGAAAGACTATCGTACAATTAAGAATACATTTGAATTGCATCAGTACAAAATATGACACCATTCTATTAAAATCAAACAAATTGAGGGGTCAGTGACACAAATACGTAACTCCATTTTGGCCATTTTGAGAAAAAGTGGTTTAAAGATAGAGGTCCACTTGGGCCTTAAGGGTTAAGTCTATGTTTCACTAGCAATCAACTTCAATGGGGGTGTTGGGTGGAGTTAAGTCTTGTGTTTCCTGGAAAGCCCACATTCTTCTGAACATTTTGATATCAAATACTCGTTTTGGCAAAACATGGAGTTAAGTCTTTGACTCTTTGTGTCAATGAACCTTCGTGATGACCTTTTTGGCATAGAAGACTAGCATCATCATAAGATATTCCCAATGTTAAAGTTAGGGAGGTCCTCATCGCTCTCTTCTGAATCTGAATCTACCACGTGTTCCAGAGGAGAGTAGGAGATACTGGCATCTGGCATTTCTGAGGGTTCCTGTACGAGAGGATCTCTCATCCCCTGGGAAACGACTCCTTCAGAATCGGAAGATTCCTCGTGATTTGCGCCCCGTTTAGCATCGCCAATGTCCTTGTCTTTTGGTACGGTATCCAGGTTAACTAGGGGCAAGTCATGCCCTTCTGAATACGGATGAGGTGAGTATGTAGTGTTGTCCACTTGAAAAGCGACGGGTATAGTTGCAGATACGACTTCTCGTGAGCGGGGCGATGCCATACAGTCCATTTTTAATCTGGCATTGCTCAGTCTCTCATCTTCAGGCGGGGTGCTCAGATCTATACAAGGCAAGTCATCATCCCCTATGGATGAAATGGGTGATCCTGTAGGGTGCAGCAATGTCTTCTTAGAACAGTCCATTTCTAAGACGGTGGGCTTGCAAGCATTACTAGTTCCAGGTACACTTGGTGATACACTGCTTACAAAATCTTCTGAAAATCAAAGTTTAAGAATAGCTCTGAAAAATACATAAACATGGAAGACTAGCATCATCCTAACAAATTCCCTATGTTAACGTTAGGAAGGTCCTCTTCGCTTTCTTCGGAATCTGACTAATTAGAAAGCTGAACACTAAATTAGAACAAAGCAAACAAAAAACTGCTCTTAAATAGCTACTGCAGATTTAAAATAAAATACAGAAAAAGGAAAGATCTATTGCTGTCCAAATTTTAGTAACATAATTAATACAATGTTAATTTGACACAGTGATATCAAAGTCTTGACTTTTTTTTAGGGGGGGGGGGGGGGACTTGAGGGAAAGTTTATATTGGCTGCCCTAGAATTTAAAGCTTATCAGTACTAGTTTACAGGAGGGATTAGACCGCCCTGCAAGGTCACTGGACAGGTGGTTATCTCATCAACTCAGCTCTCAGTTAACATAAGAAAAAGAGGATCATGGGGGACCAATGGTCACCGATAAGGCATTGTTTAATATAGAGAGGGTGCAAGTAGCTACAAGTAATGCAGTGGGCTTTTAAGGAAAATAAAGTGAGTAAAGATACAAAGAGGAATTTGGAGAAGGGATGAAGAAGGAGAATAAAGATCAAGAACCCATTACCATCATTGCTATCCAGTGACATGGCTGGTGAATGCTCTCTCTCGCTCCTTTCCAGCTTTCTTCTTTTTCCCCTCGTTCTCTTGGGTCTCTCTGCCGGTTCCAGGTCAGCATCTTGTTTCAGTTCCCTTAGTCTCTCCTCCCACTGCTTCTGAAAGGCCTTGGAATCCTGGATTCCATCTGATCTTTCTGTATTAAAGACAGAATAAAAATCCATTACAGTTGAACTTTTCACCTACTTCAAATATTTAAGTGTTGTAGTATTGTTCAAGTTGAGTGTTTGGAGTAATGTGTAAATTAATGTACTAGATAAACATGTATTATAGATATCTCGACTGCAACAAGAGGCCTGGCAGTTTTTATAGGCTCAAGGCCCCCCCCCCCCCCCAGGCGTGCATCAGGGTCATGGCAGGATGCAACGTCCCCGAGAGCCAGTATAGAAACAGCCAGCTGTTGAATATTAAAGCAGTCGATATATCTCTTATATACCAAATTGACACAAAAATCTACCAAGAATTCTTACCTTATCCTTTTCTTGATTAAAGATTGGTTAAAACATCACAGAAAATCTGAGACACTGTCTTTTAAAATCATTTGAGAATCGCACACAAAAAGCGCTGTATGGTATCCGCGCTCACACACAGCAACTTTTAATTCGTAAACCAATGGGGATCTCATCAAAATTTTACTATTTTCCCGGTACCCGGAATCTTTAGGGAATCTCACGCATAAACTATTGACCGTTACTTGCATCGTTCGTTTCTTTACGGAAATGGCTAAAATCACGACTCCAATTTCGACCAATCAGATGGCTAGATTTTCTTGGAGGAGGGGGGAGGGAGGTGTCATGTCTTCAAATAGCACGAAATGCAGATACACTGAAGCTATACCCTGATGGACTAAACAAATGTGTAACTTCATAAGAAAATGATGAAATGGAGGGTTCAGTGACACCAAGACGTAACTCCATATTTTGCCAAATGAGTATTTGATATCAAAATGTTCAGAAAAATGTGGGCTTTACAGGAAACACAAAGACTTAACTCCACCCAACACCCCATTGAAGTCAATGGCTTGTGAAACACAGACTTAACTCCGGCCCACTTTTTCTCAAAATGGCCAAAATGGAGTTACGTCTTTGTGTCACTGACCCTTCAAAATGAATGAATTTTTATTAGTACATATTTGACATTACCTTGGCATTTGTGGACAATCTCTCCCCAGAGCTGGTTATCTGAAAGCATCTTCATCCCTCCAACAATCAGAAGATGGTTCTTGGACCTGGTCAGTGCAACATTGGTTCGTCTATGAAGAAATACATTGGAAGAATACATTGACCACTTTGTTGCTCCATCTCAATAACATTTGGGGGGCATCTGGTTTTCTGTTTTTTTCTAGATTTAAAACCCCAGAATAAACGATATTACATGATCAACAACTGAGAATAACATTTTGAAAATAATAATCAAATACAAGACTAGTTAATGTATTTTCCTGGCACTTACTTGTCAGAGTCAATGAATCCGACTCTCTGAGTCCTTACACAAGACAAGATGATGATGGACTTCTCCCCTCCTTGGAAAGCATCGACTGTCGATATCTGGATGGCTTTCAGTTCACTGCTGTTCTGGGTGCTGTCAAAGAAACAAAACAAATTTGTTTAATCATTGATCTTTACACAAGAGAAGAGAAGAGCAGAGAAAAATAGAGAAGCGCAGAGAAGAGTACAAAATACAAGACAAGCAGAATCTCTTTCTTGGAATGCATCTAAAGTGGATAATTGAATGACTTACAGTTCACTACTATTCTGAGTGCTGTCAAACAAATAAAACTGAATAAATCAGAACAAATCTATTAATTGATTGGTCTTAACACAGGACAAGACAAGACAAGACAAGATGAGACAAGAGAGGACACCTTGGAAAGCATCTACTGTCGATATCTGGATGGCTTTCAGTTCACTACTGTTCTGGGTACTGGAAGAAAAGTTAAAGAATTTAAGATGATAAATAGGCAGGCCTAACATATTTTTTTCCAAAACTCTACCGAATGCATCAATATTGTAGTGTACATGATGATTGGTAAATAAAATTGTAAAAAATACAGAAAAAGAAAAGTTTTTTTTTGATGGGTTGACCAAATCCATAGATGATTTGGTTTTTAACACAACTTTTGAGCCTCTTGATCTTACATGTATAAACCTGATACTAAAGTAAACCCTCAATCAATTAATTCACTATAATCAAACTATCTATCCTACATACCTCAACCACTAAATGAAATTCACCTAAAACTCTTAAGTTGATACACCTTCCTAGACTTACCCCTAGTCCACCCTCATTAATCTTAATCCCACATAGCTCACACCCATCCTTCAAGGTTACATTACTCTCTTCTCTAAACTCAATGATAATCCATACATCTTAAGCTTATACCTCCAGTCCAAGGTTCTTCATGATTGATCACCTGATTATCTTCTTTTTAAATGCATGGTAAAGCAAAATATATGAGATTAACCTGAAATGATATTTATAGGGGATAGGAATGGTATGCCAAGACTTATATATTTAACTGCAGGAATCTGATTGTGCTACTAATCATTTCTTTACTGTTTTTTAAAATAATTTTTCAGCACTCTCACAGATGTTTAATATTCAAAGTTGAAGTAACATATGTATGGGGTTAAATGCACATTGTACAAAACTTCAAAGATGTCGTCAAATAGATTTCTTCAATTTTTATCATCATTGGATACACCTATAAGGATGAAAAGGAAAAGGCTTGCAAATGTCAGGGTTGCATTATCTAACAAATGAACTTGTACATCAACTTCTACAGCCTTAAGGCATTATCTTACATCATTCAATATAGGATAATGCCCTTCATGCTCTGAACAGATAATACTACAATGTTTATATCAACTGGACATGTACAGTAAACAACTACATTTTTCATACCCTTACCAAGTTTCGTAATTTTTTGAGTATGTGAAAAATTGATTTGTCCTGATTTACATTTCTTGAGCATGTGACATATTAAAGGGATTTGGTAACCTTGTCTCAGATCCTAAAACATAATCCTGGATTTAGCTCATGCTGCAATGATAATTATAAACCTTTAGGTCAGTCAGGAACATGGGACTTTTACAACCCGATCGCATGTCTGAATATCAAGATATTCATGATTGGAAATCAAAATTTAAAAAAAATAATTTTCCTAACAGTTTTTATAACACTTCAGTCTATTGGGGAAAATAAGTATGGTAAAACCGGTCACTCAAAGATTGTTACTTTTTTGAGGCACTTCATGATCATTTTGAAGCTCAATTTTTTTAGGGCTCAATATTACACCATATCACAGACACTGATAACACGTAGGGCCATGCATCTCTGATTTAACATTGTTAAATGATGCCTTTAAGGCTTATATCTAGTATTCAACAGAGGCCCCAAGTCAACCAGTCAACATTTCTTTCTGGAGTTATAAAAAACACAAAAACATTAAATTAAGGATATGAATAATTTAGTTGTTATCTTTTATACTGCTGATCAGAGCCAAAAGGGCGTTAATTCATAAACACAGGGCTAATGCCATTCTTGCTCTCAACTGACAATATAATGCATTCTACCTTGATGTCTGTAGCAGCATTCTGATCCTGCTGACTTGAGCCTTGTAAAGTGTGATGACCCCTACATCAGAAGGGGAAATCCCCATCTCCATCATGCTGCCGATGAGAAACACCACAAAGCTTGCCTCGGGGTCGTTGAAGTAGCTACCATCCCTCGCACTCATCTCACGACCGTGTGAGATGTTGAAGAAGCACAGGGTTGGGAGGTTGGGCTACAGTCAAAGACAAAGAATCATTACACATCTGGGGGGTGTTTCACAAAAATCCTCAGTCAAACTTAACTCTCAGTTGGACTTAAACATTATTGAGAGCCATTCGTAGCCTTAAAATAGAATATATTCAACAGCAAAAATTCATCTATTTTTGACTTTTCATAAATTCCACATCAAGAACATGAAATCTCCTTGATAATAGAGAATATGAATGATTTGAATCAACATTTTATGCCTTTTGAAATAACTTTTACAAAATGATTTATAAAGATGCTAACAGCTTTCCATCATTGTAACGTCCAACTTACAGATAAGTTTGACTTAAGATCTTTGTGAAACACCCCCCTGGTCTCCATCTTATTAAGAGTTGTGATTGATCCAACTTGATCGCATGTCCTCTAATCAATTGTAACTTTACAGCCTTCTATCTTTTATAAACATAGTTGCGGTTGATATCAATTCCAAATAAACTGCCACTTCATTTGCAATAGGAGGCTGTACACTTGCCCTTGATTGGAGGGCTTACGATTGATTCAAATCAATCGCAATTCTTTATAAGACGGGTCCATGGCAAGCTAATGACAGTCTCCTCAATGGAAAGAAATATGAGGGGCATAAAAACGATTCCAACATAAATTTGTTACTGCATTGAACAAAGCAAGGAACCGTTTGAAGAAGCACAATGTGGGGAGGTTGGGCTTCAGTCAGTGACAAGAATTCAATCAGTGTATTTCAAATACCAGAAATGTACTGGCTTTTTAATATTGATAATATATTCAATGGAGAAATTTAATGTGTGAAGATGCATAAAACCGTTGAAACAAACATACACTACTTAAAAGAATCAAGCAATGCCGGACAGTAATGGGGAGAGTTAATTTTTAATATTGATAATATATTCAATGGAGAAATTTAATGTGTGAAGATGCATAAAACCGTTGAAACAAACATACACTACTTAAAAGAATCAAGCAATGCCGGACAGTAATGGGGAGAGTTAATTGTCAACATTTGACCAAATGTAAAGTTTTGGGTTTCTCCAGTTAAACCAAACTTTTGATGCGTTTGTGCTTCCCTCTTTATCTTTTACTTGTGTTTCTTCTCTCCCATAATATCTCTTCTCTCTCAATTCATACCTTCTTTTATTTTCATTCTCCTCTACCTTTTTTCCTACATCTCCTTCTGCCTTCTATTCTCCTAAACTATACCACTTTCCTTTTTGTCTTACTACAGTCAAACCTGCTTTAGTGACCACCTGTATAGAAAGACCATCGGTCTACAAAGACCAAATTTTTTGTTTCCCTTGAAAAGTTTTTTTTCACTGAAACATGTACTAAAGAAACCTGTACACAAAGATCACCTGTCAATATAAACCCCTTTTCTTTTCTCCCTTGGGTGGTCTTTATAGACAGGTTTCACTATGCTTGCATTAAGCAAAAGAAAGAAAGAGTGATAACATTTTATATACAATACAGACCAATTAGTGAAAGTCATTATCACTCTGAACAGACTGATACTCAATATCTGAAAGTGTAAGATCAGGCTCCATTTCACAAAACTTGACATCAGTGACAAATGACAGTTTCTGTTATAAACTACTGAAATCCTTGCTTGTGATTGGTTATCAGCGGATTTGTCACTGATTTTTGTTATTTGTCATTGAAAAGGGGCTTTGTGAAACACCCCCCAGATGCTTACCAGTAAAGGAGGTCTGTCTTCTTCTATGACACCATCCAAAAGCTGACCATCATAGAAGAGTGTGTTAGCAAGGCTACTGATGCAGGGATGGCAGCGGTACTGTGTCCTCAGCATGATGGGATCATAGCCCTATATTAAATATGGTCAAGAATTGAAAAAATCAAGAAATGCCTAATAAACACCTTGTGAAAGAATATCAACACTGTAAATGCTCAAATCATTTACCCATCAAGTAGGCCTCTTTAAATGATAGCAAACATACTATGAGTTGGGGTAATGACTCAACTAGAGAAAGAGACACTGGTTTGGAAATGGAAGAACTCCTAAAGATAATGGAGAGTACAACTGAATGGGTAAAACTTGTCAAGTACATTGTAGGTGCAAGTATGCTATAATAATCTTGTAGTAGTTGTTGTTGTACCTACATTGTATGCATGTATTACATGTGTAAACAAAACAAATTTCCAAGACTTGGATGGGAAAAAAGGTATTTGAAAAAGCATTGAATTGAATTGAAAACTATGATTCAGTTAGAAATGAGTTCCATACAATTATTCAGATATTATTAATACCTGTGTGACAGTTTCAGTGGCAAAGTTCAGACAACATCCTGATAAAATTGTTCAGCAAACTATGATTTATTTTTGGAAACTACCGTTTCAAAACAGGCATAAAAGGTTATTTAGAAAAGTCTGGAATATCTCATTTACCATGAGTGAGTCCATCATAAAATTATTCAGCAAACTATGATTTATTTTCGGAAACTACTGTTTCAAAAAAGGCATAAAAGGTTATTTAGAAAGGTCTGGAATATCTAATTACCATGAGTGAAAGTCTATCAAAGAGGGTTTGTTCAAGTCCTGACTTGTGCGCTGACTCTGATCCCTGGATGGTAGGGTCGAGCTGATGTGGGTCTCCGACCAGAACAAGCTTCTCACATCCAAACCGGGCCATTGGGAGGAGGGATGATGGCTCGGTCATCTGACTGCATTCATCAAGCAGCACAACCTGATATCAAAGACAGCCATGTTGGATAGAACCAGTAAGTTTTGGTATTTAACAGGTAATATCTATAGCAAAACTACCACCACCACAAATACCAGCGCCACCATCACCATCACCTTCACCATATCACCCTTATTTGTCATAACCACCACTACCACTACCAACCCCAGCAAATGCATCAACACCACCACCACCACCAGCACAATCATCACCACTATTACTTCTGTTAACTTACAGGGAAGGTTAGATTCTTGATGCAAGGGAAGCTGCACGCTGCACAAGTGACCCCAATGACCTTGACCTTTGATAACATCTCCTTGTTTTCCTAATACAAATCCTTCATCCCATCTACCACCATACACCACCACTACCACCACCACCACCACCATCACAACCTCCTCTATCACCACTACTACTACTGTCAACTTACAGGGAAGGTTAGTTACACGCCGCACACATGACCCCAATGACCTTGACCTTGGCTAGCATCTCCTTGTTTTCCTACTACAAAAACCTTCATTACCACCACCATCACCACCACAAACTCCACCACCTCCACCACCACAAACTCAACCACCACCATCACCATCACCACCACCTCCTCCATCATCACCACCACTACTCTTGACAACTTACAGGGAAGGTTAGATTCTTGATGCAAGGGAAGCTGCACGCTGCACACGTGACCCCAATGACCTTGACCTGGGAGAGCATCTCCTTGTTCTTTCCGAGCCTGTGTCTCTCAATGCTCTTCCTCACAAACTGCCTCTCGTTGACGGTGAGGTCTCCCTTTAACATCTCCTGTAACTCTTTCATCTCTTGGTTCTCCTTGTCTGAGGCATGGACACTGCAAGAGTCATAAACCGATTAGATTGATAATAATAATAATAATAATAATATTTAATGTGTGTCAATTGTATTTGTTCTCACAATTTTATTTTGATGTTTGAATATAAATAAATACCTCATTAGAGGCACCAAAAAAAAAAAAAATAATAATAATAGTTTGCTCTTATAAAGCTCTTTTCAGGACAGGCTTACGAGCACAAAATGTACATGTATGCACATTCTCCAAGATAGAAAGAGGGAGAAAGAGAACAAGTAAGAAAAGTGGGAAAGAGGAAGAGCGGAGACTGTGGGGAGGGGGGAGAGAGGGAGAGAGGGAAAGGGGGTAAGACAAAAAGGTATAATTTAAGCTAAAGACTAAGAGATTAGGAATGGTACTCATACCTGTATGGTAGGACAGGTTTAGCTATTTTTCTCAGGCTGCCAACACGAATGAAATCCTCAAATCCTAGCTCAAGAAGTCTGAAAGCAAAAGATAATAAAAACAGGAATACACATGAACTACACATTTATGCACTAACAAGTTCAATCTTGAAAAAAAAATTGCACATCATTTTGTTTTCATTGATTTTAAAATAATAAATTTATTAAAAATCAGTTGATTTAATATTTAAAGAAATTATGATTTTGAGTACCCATGATCATATGATAAGAAAAAATCCCTCTTGTGATATTCTGTTTGTTTGTTTGTTTGTTTGTTTTACCTGACTGCTAAGAAAGCATATGCTTGTAGGTAGGCAATGAGGGGACCAACCACTTTAAGTCCTCTCAAAGGGAATCGGTAATGAGAATTAATGCCATACCAAAGGTCACTAGCGCATTGAATTGCTTCGAAAAATCTGGGACCTCCCTGTTATGAGACCAATGCTCTAACACCAAGCCTCACTATTCTCACTGTACTCTCTATAAAGAAATCAATCATAGATAATAACAAACATTATAATTCTATTCAAGACTCACCCAAGGAGTATCCTATCTACCGCTACATTGGTGGTGGATGCAATGAGGACCTTCCATCCACCCTCTTGACCAGTGGTCTCACTCTCCTCGCTGAGCTTGAAAAGCTTGACCAAGAACAAGACCATGACAGCCAGCAGATAGCTCTTACCAGCACCAAACACACCTAAATGAGAGGTCAATTTGGACAATGAGCAGATAAAAATTTCAATTTCAAAGAGTGCCTTGAAATTTCTTGTTCTATGTGAAGGGGAAGTCCTCACGCGCAGCAAGTAGATTGATATAATGCAGACAAATCTAAGGATCTGTTTGAGGGCCCGTTCATTCATATAATAAAGAGGATCTACATGTATATTAAAGTTTAAGTGGTATATATGATAAAACAGGTTTAAATTTTCATCAGACATCTACTGACCATTTTCACTAAACTTCTACCTTTATTTTAAAAAATTGATCTTGATATTCACTTTATTAAAGTGAACTTCCACTTTACATGATGCCATGTATCTCGGGCCATAGTGAGAGTTGTAGAGACCAGCTGCTGAGACACAAAGGTAGATAGTATGGCACATTGTTATCATTATTTTTTTCTTTTCTTCTTTTCCTGTCTTTGATATTTTCTTCCTCTTCTTTCGCATTATTGGCACCACCTCATCATTTGACCTTATAAATAGTATAATTTGATTTTATTATTGGCGTAGTCCTCATCAAATCATTTTTTATTTTTGACTACTCCTGCTACTTTTGCAGATTTTTTTTCTTTTTAAATATACATTGCTTCATATGAAGTCGTTTATGCTGTAGATGTTCTATTATTGTATGTATGTATTTCAATTTTATGTATTTTCCTATGTTTGGCATTTGTGGAGAAATAAATTGAATTGAATTGAACTATTACAATTCAATATCTTACCGTGAATGAGTGTAACAGGTGGATAGTCTCCTCCCACCATGCCAGCTACCTGATGTAAAGCTGATGACTGGTCTGGATTCAAGTGGTACGATCTAATGGTATCTTCAACTAGCTCAGTCTGCAAAGAAAAACACAAAGAACAATATCCTTTCATATTGGCAATCATAATGCTTATCGTTAGTAATAGTCTACTCATCCGTGCTGATATGTTTGTTTATAGACACATACTATTTTCACTGTATTGTTAAAATTTCAGCTTGTATATGAATGAATTTGATGGTTCCCCATAAAGTGAAGATTGTAATAAATGCCCATAAAGATTTAAGGCTTAAGATTTGACTTACGATGAGCGATGCTGGGAGATTGAGGCGACGTGACCTTGATGGTTTCACAAAGGCAGGGCCATGCAGGGAAGATGGGTTCCTCTCAGGTTCACTGTGATACATGTATAAAATGCATAATTATACAGTGAAACATGTAAATAAACACCACTCAAGGAAAGCAAGAAAAGTAGTCTTTATGATGAGGTGGTCTTACGTACAGGTTCACTCAGTCATGTTTCAATGAGAAACAATTTTTCAAGGGAAACAAAAAATGTATTCTTAACGGACAAGTGGTCTTTCTATACGGGTTGTCGCTAAAGCAGGTTTCACTGTATTAGAAATGTGAAGCCTACTGCACTGTGAGATACATGTAAATGCATACATTAGAAGAAGAAAAAGTGGTATCTACTACACTGTGAGACATTCAAATGGTCAATGATAACAGAGCTTAAAGGAGGAAACAGATTACAACTACAAAGGTCCACACAGATACTGCACTTTTCTGTGATCCAATTTTTGTATGCATGTGTGCCCGCTAGTCTACTCATGATTTGCTAACTACCTTTACAAATACTGCAATTGATGTATTTATACTTGCAGTATGAATTTGTACAGGAAGCCGTCATTTGGATACTGGATGTTTGAAGCTATAAGGACATAAAGTCATATACTTTAACACAGAGTTAATGCCCTTCTGGCTCTGAAAAGACAATATTTTTGCTTATATAGTGCTTAATACATTGGCAATGTCCAAATTTCTAAGCGCTTTACATTATTCCGGTTTGACCGCACACTATGTATGCACTTTCTCCACTCCCTGGGGAGCATTCCAGCAAGAGCTACTAGGCTCAAATTGCTAGGCATACTACATTGGCTTTAGCATCCTACCATGTACCCATTACGTCTGACCCTCGTAGCTCGCAAACCCGAGTAAATGGCCATAAAGTCGGGTATTGAAACACCCCCTTCTTTGCTTGCTGCAGAGGAGGCCTAACCACTGATCAACTTGTTTTCCAAACATAGTTCGCGCTACTTTCCGTCTCTCTCTCTCTCTCCGACTCTGTTTCTTTCAGGCTGCCTCCTTCAGTCTCTCTCCCCCTCTCCTTTCTATCTATCTCTCCCTTCCCTAGTTCTCTGTCTCTCCCACCTCTCTCTCCTTATGTTTATTGATGTCTGTCTCTCGATCCATTCCCCGGGTGTCCGTGTCTCTCTCTCTCTCTCTCTCCCCCTCTCTCCAAAATTTTAATTCTCTCTTCTCTCTTCTCTCTCTCTCTCTCTCTCTCTCTCTGGTTGGCGGCCGCTTTTCTTCTTCTTCTTCTTCGATCTTCTGTTTCTTCTTCTTGTTCTTCTTGTTCTTCTTGTTCTTCTTGTTCTTCTTGTTCTTGTTCTTCTTGTTCTTCTTCTTCTTCTCAGTCTACAGTGGCCTAGTCTTTTTCTCCAAGTCGAAGCGACAGTCCTCGGGTTTTTTCCTGATTGAAAAACCCCATTCATAAATTATGAGTCCTCAAACTCGGGTTTTGAAACACCCCCTTCACCCGAACATTGATAATAACAAGAAAGTTCTCTTTACACTGCACTATCTAACGATTTTCTGTCTTGTGTCAGAAGCTTGTTATATCTTAATTGATATTAACATGTACTTTTATTATCAGTGAATACTCATGCAACGGAATGCAGCTTCTTAATGAGGACTAATTTCTGCACGGATTTTTATTAGGGGGACACTTCGTCCGCACATGTGGACAACTCAGTGCAGTCCTGAGGTCAGTGGTGCAGTCACGTTAGGGTTACTACCATTGACCTAGAGGTCAGTGGTTACTATGGGGGTTACTATGGCGATCTGTCAATCTCTCTTCTCCCTTCCAGCAACGATCACTGGCAAAACCACATTGTTGACCTGGGGATCAGTGGTTCTTGGCAGCCTCCCAATACCTCCATCTAAGCAAGAAGCAAGGGGGTATTTCAATTTTGCTACGAGGACTTTACGTCATGCCATTTTAACACCTGGTTGGAGAGAGACAAATGTAGATCAATGTCTTGCCAAAGGACATTAGTGCTGCGGTGGGACTCGAACCGCGGACCTTGATCTTGATCAAAAGTCTGGTGACGTATCCACTTGACCACAACACCTCAACAGATGATGTAGGATAAGACATACAGAATAATAATGTGTTTGGTGATTGATTCCCTTGAACTTGTGAAATTAAATAACAATTTCATTCCACCCATGAAGAACCAAGTAGTTTGTATACGAACCAACTGATGAGATTGGGCAGGATGGGGAATGTTCTGGGGGTGACATATTCCTGTAGGTTTCCGAGACAAGTTAACTCAGAGCTAGCATTGCAAGCCAAGATTCCGTACACTGAACCTGTGAAAGCAACATATAAATTATTGTGAAAAAGATGAATAACGATGGTAGACACATTAATAATAGTAATTTCAAATTTACAGTGTAAAGTGCTTAGAAACATAGTATTTCTCTTTATATTATCCTCATTTTAAACAAGAAATATTGATTTATTACTATAAGGGCAAAGTCCATTTTTTTTTCTCGCTATGAAAAAACGAACAACAAAAACGAACAACAAAATATCTGCGGTAATGTCCTTACAGATGGAGCACAGATAGGATGCGCATCCCATAAACTGGACCAGTGGAGTACCCAATAAAGCCCCTCCAAGTCCCCCTCTCCCCCCCCCCCCCCTAAAAAAAAAAAAAAAAAAAAAAAAAAAAGTATTCAACAAAAAACAAAACAAAATAGATAAATAAATAAATAAATAAATAATAATAATAATATTTTTGTTGTTGATGAATGCCCAGGAAAGAAATACAACTTCCATTGGATCTACAGCATGCTACAGCAGGGATGCCCATATATATACATTCATCCTATATCCAGGTCACGAGGTATGCACTGTGCAGTGGCCTAGTGAAATGCTTAAAAAAGATATCACGAGCAGAATTCTTACCGTCTGTAGACCAGTTTGAGGGTGAGTATCCAGTCAGCGGTTCAATCTCAATCTCACTGGTGGAGGATGGTCCATGGAACATGCTCTTGGCAACAAAGGAACTTGATGGGTCAAAGGTCAAATCTTGAGTGATGATCCACAGGTCATCTGGAATCACAACAATTCAAAAGAACTGTTCATATCATGGTTCTTTAAAAGTTAAATATTTATTTATTTCTGCATGGTTCAACAGTTTACATAGTATGATCATGACCATCACGTTAGTAAATTAAATACTAATATAAATACTAATATTTTTCCCGTAACATGAGAGTAATTTTAATAGTTTCATACTATTAATTAAATGCAATGTTAACTGTTATTGTATAATTGTTTTAAATGGGGGCACGCTACAAGAGTCCTATCTCGCACCCCGGGGCAACGTGTCTGACACGGCCGGTTGTAGCAACCACTCCGAAGATCAAGATACATTAATCTTGATCTAAGGAGACACGAACGAACGATTAAATACTAAAAGTTAAAATTTGAATATTATGGCCTGCCACAAACCTTTGGCATAGGTAGATGAGTGTTCTTTCCTGTCTAACTTGATGTACATCTTTTTGGTGGTGTTGTTCACTCGCTGTGCTCTGTACTTCTTAATCCAAGCCTACGATCAAAGAAAAACAATTCATCTACATTAACCATCACAGTGCTACAAAGTCCCAAAACATACTAAGAATTTATTTAACTGAGAATCTTTGATCATCTTTATGCATGTTATATTGTAATAGCATACTGAGTTTTGTAAAAGCATATCGTTAAATATTTATTTGAAGCAATAACACATATTTATAATTGTTTTTTTAGAAAAAATTCATGAGGCAAGGTTCATAATTTTGCATTTCACATTTGGAAAGAAAGAACAAATCTATGGTATTTATCCTAGGAAAACTCATCTGCAGTGTTTCTAAGACACATGCTCTGTTGTCAATTTCGTACGCCAATGAAATTCCCTTCTTCAACCCTCGACTAAACAAACTATATCTAACCCTAACCCTAACCCTAAACTTAATCTAAAACCCAATCACTACCCTACCCATGTATAGTTAACGGAACAAACGAAGGGACAAATGTTGCTGTAGCATTTGTCAGATCACCCCTGAAATGAAAGAAAACACTCCTCTACTAGAGGCGCGATGGATCAGTGGTAGAGCAGTGGTCTCGTAACCGCATTCTGAACCAAATCAATGCGATGGTGCCCTTAGGTAAGGAATTAACCCTCGTAGAAGACTTAAAGCCTCAAGTCCCCTGGTTGCTTACTTTCAAGCATACACATGCTTTCTTAGCAGTCAGGTAAAATAATCATCAAACAACTAACATCAATATAAGGACCCTAACAGAAAGGAATATGTAGAATTTGAAGGAAAATCAGGAGGGGTAGGAACTGGATTTAAGACATGTACCGGTAATAAAACTGGAAACAAGTAGGATAATTCAAAAGCGTAGGATTGGTCCAAGGAAATTCTTACCGGCGCTGATCCCAAGGGTCCCTCATTCAAACTGCCTCTCCGACTCAACTGGCATTCACAGTAGAGATGAACCTGGTTGGTCCTGGCAAACTGTTCAATGCTTTCAGCATTGTGAAGAGCAATCTTAGCTCTGGACTGTGAGGGTTGTTGAGTTGAAGTTTGTGGTGCCTGCGCTGCATGCTGATCCGCCCATACAAAGAACTGCAATTAAAGAGCGGAAAACTTTGTCAATAGACTGGTTTAACATACTCAAACTTTATGCTTAATTTTTAAACAAAGGTTGTTGATGACAACCTGAAGGCTTGCCTGACATAGCAACAATTTATGTATGCAGATTGGATTCCAAGTATTGCAGTTTATTCATTAATAACATGTTAATGCAATACCTCGTCACTATAGGTCCCCAGGAAAGATACATCCATAACTTTGAATATGTTAGTTACAAATAACCGGTCTATTATCTCAGTAGAAATATATAGGGAGATGTGAGTTGGTCTAGCGGCACATTCACTTGGTCAGCTCTCTGTCTTCGCCTACAAACTGACTCAGGCGACCCCAGTTTGAAACTGAGTCACGTCTTTTGGATGGTGACGTTAAAGGTCAGTCCCCAGATGAAAATAATCATATCTGATTGATACACGTCTGTAAAAACCTAATTACACTCACACACACACACTTGTTGGTTTTTTACATACTTCTCCATGCTTTCAGCATTCTGCAGGGGGGGGGGGGATCTTGGTTCTGGTCAGAGAGGTTTTAATCAATGGGCAGCAATAAAACATGAGTGACAGCAATGCTATGACTTTCTTTTGAAAATAATCCTAATTGTGAAGATACATTTGACTTTAGGGCTATTTGTATCATGATACAAATGATATTCCAACATTCATATCTAAAATGAATGTATTTATTTTTCCCTTACTACATATACTACAGTCAAACCTGCTTTAGTGACCACCTGTCTACAATGGCCACCTTTCTACAAAGACCACTTTTTTTGTTTCCCTTGAAACATTGAAACATGTACTATAGACGCCTGTACATAAAGACCAACTGCCTATAAAGACCATATTTTTGGTCTCCCTTGGGTGGTCTTTAGAGACAGGTTTCACTGTACTAATTGTTTTCCATCTAAACTGTTGCGGTGATCTCATTGTACAAAATACAAAGCCAAAACTTATCAACAATTTTCACTAAACTCTTTCACAGCCATGTCAGAGTGTTAAATTGTATCTTAGAAGAAGATAGTACAACACACGCACAAAAACCAAACAACCAACCAACAACCATTTTACAACCACACCTACATGTACATGTACCATGGAAGCGTCATGGTGTAGTGGTTCTGACTCTCGTCTTTCAATCATAAGGTCATGAGTTCGAATTCCACTCCAGGACGTTAACTTCCTTTAGCAAAAAATTCATCTACATTGTGCTGCACTCCACCCAGGTGAAGAAAATGGGGACCTGGTAGGAATTTATTCCTTGAAGCGCAGAGCGTGTGACAGCTGCTCTGCTAAAGCCAGGGTAATTATGCTGCATTAATGTAGAGTGCTTAGAGACTTCTGATAAAGTAAGTGTTCGGCGTTATATAAGCAAATATAATTATTATTACCTTGCACTGATTCTCCCGTTGATTGTTGCAGGCGTAGAACATCCTGCCTTTGTTAGGACCATCCTTCTTGACACACACCATCTTGGCTGGTTGGCCATGCTTGCATGGGGGATTCCCCCCTCCACCACCGGTCCTCTCTGAGGGGTTTCCCCCGTGATGGGTCTTGGTGTAAGACGTGATGTCAGCTTTCTCCATGGTGGAGTGGTAGCGGTGAGAGAGCTCGAGGAGGAGGATGTTCAAATGCTCTGTTTATATACATGTACAAGGGAAGAGAGAAAGACATGTTACATTTTATTTGTCTATGACAATTATTCTCTCAGTTACAAAACAGAAGGCCTTAATTTCTTCATTTTTTCTCATTAAGCTTCAATCTATTTTGATTTACTTTATTTTCAGTACACTCATCCGACAATCTTGCAATATACTATTTTTGTAATTTTGTTGTTTTTGTTTTTCTTGCTGCTTTGATGTTTTGATGTAAACATTTATTCATTTTTATATACTTTTTCCCCATTTGCTATGTTTTTCTTTTTTAATGCTTTGTTGTATAATTGTATGTACATGTATGATGTAAACTCACATTTTTAGTCTTTGGACTTTTTGACGAGATTGAATAAAACTAATTTGAATTGAATTGAATTGAACATGTTCACATGCCACAGAAAAACATCCAATTACAATATTAGGATCCCTGACTATGATCCCTAACAGTGGTACAGTATGACACAGAAGATTCTAGATTATTACCAGAAGTTCCAGAACTAAAGGAAACGTCGTAAGGGTAGCATTCACCTAATAGTTATTATATCTATGATTGGGGTTCCATGCAAGTACTGTAATACAAAATATCAACTTCAAATATAATTTCTTTAAGATGTATTGTAAGTTTAAATAATCTCAGATAAAAGAAAAATCAATGATTGAGTAGATCGACTTGTCTATGCACTCATGTACACTCACGAAGTTAACTCTGATTAAATTACTATGTGAGCCTTAATATGAAATCACCTTTTTCCTGAAAGCTTTTCAATTTTCTTTGATCCTTTAAATTCAATATGAAACCAAGCTATCAAAGAATTGTTAAACCAACCTTTGACAGCCTCTGTCATTATCTGCTTGTAACTTGACAAACTAGGAAAGGAGACTGGTATCACAATCTCTCTCTGACGTACTGATCCACTATGTACCGTGTCCGCCGCTGGAAAGTTGAGGTCACCACGCATTCCAATCTGTTATGCACATACAAGTATGTACACAAAAGCATAGAGCATAATACATTTGCAATAATAATGAATAATATCCACTGTAATGTATTCAATAAATCATGCGTGTTCCACATCAATTTTATTGTACATATTTTCTTGACAAAAGCAGTCACCAAAATGACAAAATGTTCAATTTACCAACAAATTGAGCAATTTGTATACAAATAAAAGATATAATACAGCAGAAACTTGTTATCACAAACTTCTCAGGATAACGGAAATTACAGTATCATAATATATATGTATATATATCCCCCCCCCCAAAAAAAAAAAAAAACACAAAACAACAATAACAACATCAAAATGCAAGGATGTAGGACCAGCAAAATTACTTCGTAATTATATATTTTTGTTTTAACAGTGTTCTTTACAACTTAGAAGGTCCCATTGTATCTGACAGTTGTCAAGGTAATACAATAATGCTATCATACAGGAATCCCAACTCGTTTAATTTCTTGAGTCATATGACTGCGTTTACATTATTGTTCTGCATGTTTGAGCAAACCAAAAAGCATTAATCTTCATTTGCCACACTCAACCCAGGTGAGGTATTATGGGTACCTAGCAGGAATTCATTCCTTGAAATGCTGGAGCGCTGTAATGGCAGCTACATGTAGGCTAAAGCCGGGGTAATAATAAATGCGTCTCAGGAAAGAATTTCTAGATAGACGGCGCTATAGAAATGCCTATTATTATTATTGTAAATAAAAGCTGAGCATGTAACTTACATTTGACATCATGGAGACTGGTGTCCTGAACCCCTTCTTCACTTCCGTCCTTTCTCTACCAGGTACTCCTCTTAAAACTGCATCTCCTGACTGTGTCTGGGAACCACTCATCCCAACTAAACTTTGTGTTCTATTCTGGTGTGCATGCTGTAGATGATGCAGTGAGGATAAGTTTCCTCTGGTATTGCCGACTTCAATAGATAAATTGAAACAAAATTATTAGACATTTCGTATATATCAAGAAAATAGGTATTGTTGGATTCACAATTAGATGAGTTATGAGATGCATCCAAACACTTTTTATCAATATCCTCATTTCCAAACTTCCAATACAACTTATACACAAGTTTGAGTGGAAACTGATAAATATTTATCTGAAAAAAATAAGGACTTCAGGAATTTCCAAACAAACACGATTGATGCACCATTATGGTTATATGAACTTGAGTAGCTTTAATGTGTTTTTCATGGTAGATGTAATGTAATTGCCTTAATTTGAATTTGTAATGTTTTGCCCTAAAATTAATTGTATTCTATTGTATCTATATGTATTGACTAGATGTATCTGTGCTTATGTATTTTGAATTAATTGTAGGTTGATTAGTATATATATTAATTATAGATATTGAATGTATTATTATCTAAGTACAACTTTGTAAAGCACTTAGAAACATTGTAATAAGTGCTATAGAAATATAATGTATTATTATTATTAATGATCACTTAAATCACCGTTAGTCCCCAATCATGTTGGACATGAGAAATAGAGGATTCTCAAAAGCAGATGATGAATACATTGATGCAAATCAACATAATAGCAAAACAAAAGAAATGATGTGTATCAATTAAATCTGAAGAAAAAAATGGAAGACAAATCTACAAAAGAAAGAAAAACAGAATACCATATCGCATTGATGCAAACTCATCAGGCATGTTGCCACTATTAAGAAAGCAAAGTGGACATTCAAAATACAGACGAACATAAGGTACCTTGTAAATCTATCTGTCCTACTGCTAAACCCTGTTGTGATGTCCCTACTCTAAACTGATTGCTCGGTTCATAGTTCTTTCTAGGCTGTACACTGTTTCCTGTATAATGTAAACAATCTTTTACTAGCATGGGAACTCCGTGTAATACATCATTCTCTTGCTCTTGTGGGAAAACTTGGTTGCTTTGGAAACTACTGCAGAGGACATCATCAGTGATGGAATCCTCAGAACTTGTTTGGTGGACGTCCCATGTCGACTGTCCATGCTCTCCACCTACATCTACCATGTCAAAGTCTATTGCCAGTTCTTGCTCATTATTAGTACCATAATGTTTCTTTGAGCCAACTTTTGTGAATTTATGAGGTAGGTTCGTTCTACAAGGTGTAATCTGAGAGAAGTCAAGACAGTCATTTTCTTCTTGATGTAGCTGGTTCATATGGCCTTGTATACATTCACTCATGTTGGCTTCTCTAGAAGTACATCGATCCAAGGAGACACTGTGTGAATAATTTGCTTGATTGCCATCTTGTGTGAACTCACTCTGCTGTACATGTACTTGTGAAGGTGATGGACAGTCATCATCTGATTCAAGAATCAAGATGAGTTCTGACTCTTGATCTCTTGGGTCTACATGAGACATATCCACTTGGTCTAAATGATCAACAGACCGAGTCTGTAAATCATTGGGGATTTTGCATGATGCAATTGTTTCAGCATTGTAGATCTGCATGTTACCCATATGAAACTGGGACTTTCTTTGAGGCGAGGAACTCCGATTGCATCTCTCTTCCTCAAGGACAGCATCCCTGCATATCTCTCTGCCTCTTGTGGTGTGTAAACTCATGACATCTCGCTCAAATGAGGGTATGTCAGTTCGTCTGTTGACACTGCAGAGGATCTCAACATTTTGGGATTGTGACAGCTGTTGCCTTCCACATCTTCCAGCGCCTTTGGACAAACCACTTTGACTATCATTGACTCCAAAGAAATCACATGGTGAGTGACAGTTTGGCAAAGTTGGATGTTGTTGTCTATTTTGCATTGCATGTGACATAAAGAACCCATCCTGCAATCTTACATCTGAGGTGAAGGGATGAGAATTTTGTCTGGATTGAGAGTCACCACAGTCAAGTGCTACAGATGAATGGGTGTGGGGTACACTAGTATCCCAAATCTGCATGTTTGTGCCAGCAAAAGATTGTCCAACCTCTAAGAAATCCCTCTCTGAGAGACCAGGCAAACTTTGGTTGTCTCTTGTGTTACTGATACAGGTTTGCGAGGAGCAAAAGCCCGGCCTCTCTATTGCTGTTGGTGAGGTTATGCAACTCTCCACTATAGGTTTAAAGGATGAGCTTTGAGGAGGTGAAAACAGGTTTCCAAATGGTGCTGTAGACCTGATCATTCCACTTGCAGGGGTGCTACGTGCTTGGATACTGTCAGCGTGTGTTAGATGTATCTGAAGTGGTTTACTCCAGTCGTGTCTCGGTTGAAATTCTCTCTGGGTAGGAGTGTAATGTTGCCTCCTCTCTGAGGTGTCAAATGGTGGAGTAAGCCTGGCACTACTCCCTAGAGGAGTACCATATGGCAGCATCCTGCTAGTCTCGGAAGGCAGTATTTCTTGGACGTCACCCCAATCTTGTCTTGATAGGAACATTGACTGGGTAGGAGTTTGTGGATTTCTTTTGACTTTTCCACTGGACACAAACTGCTTCCAGTAGATTCCCCCTTTCGACGAATCACTCTGGTCCTGGAGAAATCAAAAGAAAATAAAGGCACACCTAATAATAATAATAATAATAATACAACATTTATTATGTGCCATAGATCTAGTAAACTATTCTGAGGCCCAGAGGGATAGAATTAAAATGAGATACATAGAGAAATGAGAAGGGGGGGGGGGGAAGAAAAGAAAAGAATAACAAATGCATAGATGTACATTCAACATATAATTAACTAAAATAACATGCATGACTTTAGATCTTTAACATCCCACACAATGTATTTCATAAACATCAAGAATATTGCACATCCATCCAACATGAACAACATGTATCTTTTGGGTAATCAAATTATTATAATGTGCAACAATCATGAAGAAAGCATCATATTACAACTGTTTGAACTCTGTATACATTTTGGCAGCAGGCCTTCTTTCAATAATAAAACATTGCAACCTCTCTATATACATCTATCTTTCACCTTGCTAATTTGTGAGCTTTTACCTGTATCCATCAATTACTGAATAGTTCAAACATTAAATTGACAGCAGCATTTACAACAGTTTTTTCTAACTAGTAGTATTAAACACATAATGATTAATAGCCATTATGTATTACCTTTTGTTTGACTTCCTTTATGAATCCATGAATTATACAAACCTAAAGTCCCAGTGGGGTTGATTCTTTTACTGCACTAGTTTTCATAATAATCACTCACAATTTCAAACATAAAGAACTTTTTTAGGGTTAAGTACAGTCTAAGCTACATATGTAAAGCACAAACAAAGGGTTCAGAAAGCTCCAGTCCAGCCCTTAATATTACTAGCGATGTTCATACGGTCTGTCGTAGTTTTAAAGGTTACATCTGTGAAACCTGGAATCCTTACTTTTAAACAACAAGGGTATGCCAATTCTTACCTTACAAATCTCAAAGTCCGATTTGTTTGTTGCGTTTCTTCTCACTGAAGTCTTCAGGTATGAAGGATGAGGTAATATGGCAGAGGCAGGGCTGGAAGAATGATTATCTTGTAGTCTCACATCAGGAGTGTTGCAATGGTCTGTGAGATAGAAAATTAATCTTCTTATAATACAAACTTTGAACTGAACATTGTTTAATGGAGTGCATATCAAACAAGACAAGAAACAAGAACATTAAATGAAACTTATGACTTTCATCTTGAATTTAAAATCTTAAAGCCCTTCTGCACTAGTTTGGCATGGAGGGATTAGACCTCCTTGCAAGGTCACTGGCAGGTGGTTATCTCATCACATCAGCTCTCAATTAACATAAGAAAAAGGGCATCATGGGGGATCAACAGGTACCGCTTAGGCATTGTTGGCTGTATAGAGAGCGCAAGTAGCTATAAGTAGTGCAGTGGGGCTTTAAGACAACAGGCTCAATTCTGGTGAAAACTTAATCCCAAACTGCAAAGGTGCAAAACTGTAAAACTAGAAAATTTTGAAAAATGAACCTTGGGTGAATTGTATTAGAAAAACTTTTATTTTCACAGAAATTAAGACACCTTGGTGATACGCAAAAATTATAAGTTTGGTCACTTGTGAACATACCAATATAGGCTGTGAAAGTTTTATAAAAGTGTTTACGCCCAAAGTTTCTGAATGTATTGTTGTGCAAAGAGAGTACGGAATAGCATATGAAAATTTAAATACAAGAACCAGAAGCCACAGAAAGAAAGGGAAACATAACAATTCGGCCAGTTAAAGATGGAAAAGTGCGATGGAGATGAACATAAGCAGTAATGATCAACACTCACCTGGGTGCATTGCAGCAAAGCTACGTAGCTCTTCAGGAGGTGGCAATTTGAAGACTGGTGACCATGTCTCCTGTTTAGATCCATGGCTAGACATTGATGCTGGTGATCCGAGTTGAAGTTGCATTTTTCTTTGGTCTTGGCTAGTATTCCATGTGAATCTTGAATCCAATTTATATCCTTCTCTTATCTGACAAACAGGTATGCTTTCCTCTGCTTGGTTTGGTGTCACAGAGATTGGAATCTGGTGGCACTCACCAACGTTCTGAACATTGTCATAGATGACCATGTCACTACGGCTTTGGTCCTGCATCAAATTTCCTGGAACCAGATGTGGCGTCTGAACTAGATATGGTTGGTCATGGGCGGTTCTGACCAGTTGGTGATCTTGTTCTGAAGACCATGACAAAGTGGCATTACTATCACCATTTCTGTTTACTTCCTTTCCAAACTGGCACTCACTGGAGTTCTTAACATTGTCATAGATGACCATGTCACTACTGCTCTGGTCCTGAATCAAATTTCCCGGAACCAGATGTGGTGTCTGAACATGGGCGGTTCTGACCTGTTGGTGATCTTGTTCTGAAGACCATGACAAAGTGGCATTACTATCACCATGTCCATTTACTTCCTTTCCGAACCATTCAGATGCTTGACCTGATAGTCCCACTATCTGAGCGGAAGTGCTACACTGTCCCATTGAAGACACCTCTCCATATGACTTCTCTGCAATTTGGACTTGATTAGTGGCCGATTCATGTTGCCTTGAATCAGACATCTCTGGAACTGACTGCTCACCTCCTGACATAAGTGTAGGATAAAACAACCTTGAAGCTTCCTTGGAAGGTGGATGCCCAGCCCCAGTCGTACCATATCCTCCAAAAGGGCTTGTAGGAAGATGCCGTGTATCAATCAATTCCATGTCCGGAACCAGAGCATCAATATCCTGAGACGGTATAGGTGAATGACCATTACTCCCTTTGAAGAAGTGGCCACTCTGTATGTCTTGAAAAGAAAATGTTGTGTCCTTATTTCTCTGTGTATCTTGTGAAAAGTCTAAAGTGTCTATGGAAGTTGCAGTGGACTGCTGACTATTGCAATCAGGAATCACTGATTCAAGATCGTGTGATATCGGTCCATTGGACAATTTAAGGTCAGCTGTCCCTAGCTTTCTGACATGTTCTTTCTTCTGCCGATTCTTAGAAGTTTCAAGCAGCTCTGAGCTGAAGTTGTGAAGATTGCGGTTAACAGGATGAATGATATTCTGTGCATTGTTCCTCAACAAATTACCTTCATTAACAGGATCAGAATCTGCCCCCAGATGCGGGGATCCCTGGAAGACATCATTTGTATCGTTGGACCAATGATATTCACCACTCAAGTCCATAGAGTCATCAATAGGATCTTCACCTACATGTAGCTGCATATCTTTCTTCACAGATTTCTTTCCATCAATAATGGGATTAGCACCTGCGTCCAAACCAAATGATGTCTGTGAGATGTCAAATATATTCTCTGAACTATCTTCTTCGCAGTTCATATTCAAAGACACAATATTAACTTCATCAGAATGCAGAAGCTGCTGTTCATATTCTCTCACATGTTTGTATCTCTCATCACCTACATGAAGATCAGAAACTGCTTTCAGACTTGGGGATTTCTGGGACACATCAGCTTCAGGTGTAATCTTGAGAGATGCATCATCAGTATCAATATCACCAGGATCTATACAGCGATGAGAATCTTTTCCCAAAGACTGTGCTTCATTTTCAACAGCATGATGGACATCCGAACATTTCTGTGAGGTTGGAGATAGCTGACAGACATCCATTTTATTCTTTGACCAATCTTCTTCACAGCTCAAGTTCAAAGCCATATTATCATCATTATCAAAAGTAATGTCAGGAGGTTTAACGTGATGCGTATCACCACTCACAAGATTGTCTCTATCTTCAACTTGAGCAGTATCTGGTTTTGGGCCTGGGGGTTTCTGGACAACATCAGTCGCAGAGTCGAAGCTAACACGGTCATTAACACAGTCCACATATGTACCGTCAGTATCAGAATCAGCAGGATGTATAATGTATGCTGCATCATCCCTCTCAGGTTTGTCTTCATGATCACCAACATCTGAAACTGATTTATGGCCTGGGGATTTCTGGTCAACTTCAGACATATTCTGATAGCTAGCAATGTCATTGCTAGGGTCAATACAAGTTCCATCAGTTTTAGAAACGACAGGATGCACTGTGTCATTTGAATCATCTTCATGAAGATAAGAAACTGATAACAGGCTTGGGGATTTCTGTAACACATCAGTAGTATTCTTGAGTCCATCAGTTGTCCTCTTTACACCAGTATGTTCATACTTAGAGTCCATACCATCATCCTGATGTGCATTATTACTCTCAGGTTTGTCTGCACCTTCACCTTGATCACATAGTGCTGCCATGCTTGGAGACCTCTGGAAGACATCCACTTTATTCTGAGACCCATCTTCTTCACAGCTTTGGTCCTGAGACCAATCATCAGGATCAAAGTCAATCTGAAAACATATCTCCATACTATCACAATTCGATTCTCCGGAGAATTCACCTGTCAAGTTCCTACGTTTCATTTTGTGCGTGGTTTTCTGTTCATTCTGGGTCAGATCCAGGGATGGGTGCTTCACGGTCTTGTGAACTTCCTCAAAGGCTGCACCATTGTTATTGTGTGAATGCTGAGGGGTATCTGGTGCTTTGTGAGCAGTATCTATCTCAAGGGAAGATTCTTCTGGTGTATTTGATTTCATATCTTGTTCATCAATATCTGGCACAATCTTAATTTCTTCTTTTTCCTGACATTGATCAGAACTGCTGCCAGTTTGAGTTGCCAAGACCAATTCTTCATGAGAATAAATAACATCGGGAATTGCAGGGGATTGGCAACTTCTTTCATCCCTATTCTGGCCCTGAATCTGTTCAGCTGCCTTCTCAGATGGGCAATGTTGAATCTCTTCTACATCTATTCTATTACTATTCATATTTGACTCTAAACTTGTACTAGTCATAGATAGTTCTTCCTCGTGATCTTTACTTGGTATATTGCATGTACACCTGATGCCCTTGCATTTCTTACATTCCTTGGTCTTTAATTCTGACTGTGAGTCTACCTTGCACTTTTTAATAATCTTGTCTGTCTCTAAACCTAAGAGTAGGAGGACAATTTGGGAGGAAACTATCCGTTACCTTAGATATATTTGCTTGAAATTTCTTCTTCAGAATGTTAAAGCATAGCAAAACACAGGATAACTATACTTTAACTGTTTTTACTGGTACATGTATTGTTTCTTTTGTTTTAATTATCATAAGATTCAAACTGATGTACTAAGAACATAGTGACTTTTTTTTAAAATAAATTGTAAATGGTATATTCAACTAAGAATATGCATGCATTACTCTCAACCAAACTACCCATCAAGACCTAAATCTGCTACAGAAGTGGCCCAATGATGTGTTACATACTGTACGTGGACTAAGAGAAAACTATAAGAAAACTATAGAAAAATTAGGATACCTAAGCATGCAGAGACAAAGTTCCCTTCAACATACCTGTTCTTTTATTCAAACAATGTTTCATGTGCTGGTTTTGCCTCGGTGCCTGACTCTCCTGAGAGACCCTGGACTCATCACAGACTGCTGCTTCCCTGTGACCACCTTCGGCTGCTTGACCACTAGTGGCCTTCAGCCTCACAAGATCATTCTCACTGGGGATGCTGTGATGTTGTGACGTTCTCATCGATGCTGCAGTTCTTCTCATATGACCTGCATCAAATTCTCTAGAAGTATGTATAGGAAGACTGTCAAGAGGATGTGATTCTGTATTGTAAGACAGATGTTCATCAAACACATCTTTTTCCAGCGCCACAGGTTCTGAAGAAATCACACTTGCTTGGTAATTACTCTGATAGACATTTACTGGTGCTTGTGGTCTGATGGTTGTCGGAGAACTAGTATCCTCCATATGACCTATAGATGAATGTAATACTGTGTCAGTAACTCCACCTTGCGAAATCTTCTGCTTCAGGGGAGGCTGGAATGGTTTCTTCCCCTTACCAAGCAAAGCAAGAATTCTAGAGGTGCTTCTTTTAGCTCCTGGAGCATTCCCAGTGTTGCCTTTGGTTTCTTCTGACAGCCTAGCCTCCACACTATCCGGGTTAGTGCCTGGCATGACTGAACTAGCTGAAAGATCTGTGTGCTTCCTGTAGCTGGTATAGTCCTGTTCAGAAGACGTTCTCCATAGATCCTGATTTGTGGAACTAGGATCGGTAGAGAAGGAAGATTTGTTCATGACAGGTACATCTGTCCTGGAGAGATCACTTCCACCTTCTCGATCATCCCACGTACCTCTCATGTCAAGGTCCATTTCTGGTTGACTTTTGACTTGAAGTTCACATGGATCTACACCCATGACAGTCCTGCCGGTACTTCCAGGATGTGGTGAGAAACTAGTGGCTGTATTATGACTTGGAAGAGTCACGTCATCCATGTAGTCCTCATTCAATTCCTGTGATACCGGTTGAAAGTCATCTTTGAGCTGTTGAGGATCATATTGGGTATTGCTTCTCATTGTATGTTGTAGTTCAGATGCTGCATAATTGCTTTGACTTGCGTTGACCGTGCTCCTTCCATACATGTTCAAGATGTTTGGACCCTGTGGCGAAGATACCTCTGTCTTGCTACCTGGAACACTAAAGAGTGAAGATCTGGGACTTCCGAACCCTGACGAAGTAGCCAATTGCTGGATTTCTTGTGTCTGTGGAGGATTCTCTTTCTCAGGACTCGGTCGCTTGTTGGCTTGCCTTGGAGGTACAAATCCCTGCAAACCAATAAAAGTAATATAAAATAGATACTTGTAATCAAATTCAAAAGTAATGACCAATACTCAATACTACCATACTGATAGAATATATTTATATAATGGCCACTTCCCACTTGTCTACAATTGCCACTTTAATAATTCAAATCAAGAGAATAAGTGTACTTAACATTTCTGGCTTCTGCTAAAGAACACATATTAGATAAGTAAGTTCAGAGGGGCCACAATTGTGCACAAAATACTTGATAGTCCTGATATTCATTTAACAAGCAAATTTGTTGTCGTACATAACAGGTTTTAGTTGGCCCTCAATTAGCTTTTATAGACAAACAAAATAAATCATCAATTACTTACCGTTCTCTTTCTCTTCAGTGGCTGTCTTCTTGGAACCTGGGTATGAGGTTTGTGATCAGGTTGGTTTACTGGAGCCTTTTCATGATTAACAGCTTCTGGGGTTGGTCTATCAGAGGATACATTTTCTTCGATTGTGATCAAATATTTCTCACTTTCTAGCTCTTCTCCAATGGCAGCCTGCACGAGTGAAGAAAAAAAAAAGTATACAAAAAGTCAAGAAAACAATAAAACAGGCAATAAACAGTAAACTGAAAGTGTTAGATATATAGGAGCTTCTTTATATTGAAGCCGTGTTCTAGGAATTAAACAGGGCGAACATACATTCCATGTTTCCCTAGTACTCACTTGTTGGCACTGGATTGGAGTAAGAACTTTAAGTATATATTTTAAAATTGTTTGTTTCTAAGTTCTATTAGGTAGGAAAATGGAGATGTATTAATGTGAACGGAAACATTAAATGTCACGTCCCTTTACTTTTTTCAATGAAAAGGTTACCCTACAAAGGATCAAACTATATTGCCAATTGCTAAGTACAGTACATAAGAAAAAAGTCATAAAAATGAGGCTTTCGAAACTTCATGTAAAATTTAAGACCTGCTAAACATTAAGTGGAGAATTTTTATAGCTGAAGCCATTAACAGCCTCAATATGAAGTACATCAAGGTTGCAGTACTATTTAACAAACAAACCGCTAACTCCATGCATAAAAGTGTCTCAAAACATCATCTATGAGAATGAATTTCCATTCACAAAAATATGTCAGGTCTTTCACCCAATAGAGACACAGAATAAATGTTTGATAGAGTTCATGAATGCAGTCAATATTATGCGCTCATAATCTACCTTGGGGTGTTTCACAAAGATCCTAAGTCGAACCTAACTCTTAGTTGGACTTAAAATTATGGAGAGCCATTTGTAGTCTTAGGATAAATATATTCAAAAGCAAAAACTCAAGTATTTTACATTTTTCACAAATTCCACATCAAGAACATGAAATCTCCGTGATAATAGAAGATATGAATGATTTGAATCAACATTTAATGCCTTTAAAAGTACCTTTTACAAAATATTTCAAAGATGCTAATGGCTTTCAATAATTGTTAAGTCCAACTTAGAGATAAGTTCAACTTAGGATCTTTGTGAAACACCCCCTAGGTTAATGAAGAATGATAGAATTTTACAAAATTTATTACTCCTGGGTTACTAACCATGCGAAAAAACTTAATGAGAGCAATTGGGGCTTACCTGGTTTGCTTTGATATGAACTTGATCCAACCTTTTGTTTCCTGCTCCGATAAGATCAGCTTTGGTTCCTTGGTCATTGATCTTGAGGACACCATCTTGCCAAACCTTGGCTTTCTTCCTCTTCTGATGTGTGTATAAAACCTAAATGTAAACAAAAAATGACAGGGATCAGTATTAAATCTAACATGATATCATTATCTCCCCCTTTTTTGTTGTTGGATTTTTAAGAAGAAGAAGAAAAATGCATGCATATCATGTGAGTGTATATATATGTATACGTAAATTTGAATTCAAAACAAATATTTTAGAGTATTCAGCAATAATTTTCATAAACTGACTTACTTTAATAAATAACTACAACAATAAATCAATGTCGTTTTACTAAGAATGAATCAATGTCGTATATTTTGTCTGCTGCATGGAGACGGGTAATTCCAGCCATATTTGGCTTAAAAGCTGGGGTCTTTAGAAAATAGTAATATCTTCCTTATAATCAGACATAAATAACTGTCTGGTATGGGGTCATTCTTTAATAAAACTGACATTTGTCAACATTCAAGGCGGTCAGAGGAGCCAGATGAAATCTCAGCGAAACAACTGTCGATATCAGAGACTGAAGCTTTCGGTCTACCTTATAATGTGCTCTTTGATTGGATAAATATCAACAGTACTAAATAATTGACTACCGGTATTTATTTTGTAACCTTTTGTGATACATGTATGCAGTTATACCATTACAAATGTGCAGTGTCATCTTGATCATACAAATTCTCAATAGTCATTGATCTGAAATACATTTAAGACAAAATCAAGAAACGAAATAGGATTATTTGAATCCTGACTATAAACAAGGATTGACATTACTTGTTAACTAAGTGAATAGGTAAATACATAATTTGAGTGTATCAAAAATGCTTGTGCATTGCAAACTCTATTCTGCAAACATTATTAAAAACATCACCATTGTAGAATACAGGAATAGCCTTTTGATAGAGGGGCTCGAGTTGTGACGTCAGAAGCGAGAGTTTCACTTTCACTACATTGTTTTGGCCGGATTTCAGGGGGCGTTTGGAGGGTGCCAGCCTATTTTACGTTTTTGAGATAAGTTTCATTACTGGGACATGTCCCCATAAAATCGAAGAAAATCAGCTAAAAGCACAGAGATGCAAGTAAAATATGATGCATTTTATTTCAGTCTAATGATCCGTCTATGGCATTGTGTGAATGATTTTTGTGACATTGATGCAAAATGTTGTACATTGTAATATCTGATGAAATTCATATTCTTCAGTCTATAACAAAATAACTGATCGACACAGACTTTATGCTTTCGACCTTTCATTCAAACTTTTATTTAAATTTGAAGAAAGAAAAAAAGAGATACCGTGAATGTAATAATAGTAGACCTACATGTAGGGTAGAGGATTATTTCTCTAGACACTAAAGAAAAAGTAAAGCCGTCATGTTGGCAACTGGACTTTACACAAAAAATAATATGCATCAGATATTAGTAGTACTAGTAGCCATCAATATTATCAAACCATTATAAATATTTGTTCTTTTTAAGATATTGTCTAAAATAAGTCTGAAAATATTAATGAAACATTGTCCGGACATAGGACGTGTACATGTAGGTGTACTAAATACGTATCACATTGAGTTTGACTAGATCTACAGAGCTAACGTATTCTTTTAAAAATTCAATATTTTATCAATCTATCTAGTAATAGTCTAGTATCTTTGCAGTGTTAATGACCACAGACACAGTTTAAATTTGGGCTTACTTACAACAAACTCTCTTCCTGCCATGGTTAATATCTGAAATGTAATCGTAGCAGGCCCATAATAATATCACCAGGAACGTGACGTCACTGACACTTGACTTGGTAGTGAAACTTTGAGTTTGATCCTGCCAAAACAACAAAAGAAGCAAAATGGAGAAGAAAAAAAAGAAAAGGTTATTAATATTAATGTATGGTGGTGTGACCAAAGTTCGCGCGTGACCTAAGTTCGCTATCTCAAAAAATCAGTAAGATTTCAAAAATCTGATATCAACAATGGAAAGAGAAACATAAAATTACCCAGATATGAAATTCTCTTTGGAATTGTGTACGAAATTGTGAAAATATTGACAAAAGATCAGCAAATTTTGCAACCTTTTGCGTCTGTTCCGAAAAATTATCAATTTACCGATAAGGGTCTGAAAATCTTCAATTTGAGAGCAGATTTCCTCAAACTTGTAAGTAAAAAGTGGTACCAAGTGATTGTATGATGTCTTGCCTTGCAAATTATGATATGACCTTATTTTTGATGGATCACATTTTTTGATAAATCAACTGTAGATCTAAACCCCTGTGCGTGAAGTTAGGTCTTGTTGTTTTTATGACTTTTTTAGATTCAGCGCGCACGCACGATCGGACATCAAATTTTAAGATCGCTATATCTCCGAAATCCTTCGACGATAATTTTTTTTAATTGAACCAATCTGTAGAAAAAACTTTGCCGTCCATTCGGTAATAATTGAAATAAATAAATTTGTGTAGAATATGAGAAATCATAGATCGAATATCACACTTTGTAATGCGTTCTAAAATGACCGCGAACTTTGGTCACCCCTTCATACTAAACTTGTCTTGATTGTTAAAGTTTTTATTCCCATGCATGGCCTACAGTACATGAAACTTGTAACATTCTGTTGAAAAACTGATCATGAATGTCGATCGAGTTTCAGAGTCTCTGAGCTGAAAGAGTGAAAGTTCGAAAGCCGCGAGTTGGCTCAGTCGGTAAAGCGTCCGTCTGTCGAACCAAAGATCCCGGGTTCGACTCCCACCCAGGCGGATGACTGAAGCCTGCGTTGTGTGTTAACGTGCCCCTTCCCTTGTTCATAGACGCAGGTTATGTCAAGTGGAAAACACTCCGTCCCTCGGATAGGACGTTAAATGGAGGACCCGTGTACAGAAGAGTCGATCCCTACCTTTGCACGTAAAGAACCCACTGCACTATTCGTTACTATAAGACTCAAGAGTAGGGGGAAACCCCTGTGTAGTGGTCCACCTGCACACACCCCCAGTATAGTACGATAATACTCTGTAAAGAGGTCTGGACTCAAAAGGAAGAAGAAGAAGAAGATGCGCCGCATTAGGACAGGAGCCTGCAGACGACAAGTTGACAGACGTGTATGTATGTAGACCTAGACTCGCTAGAGGCTAGACCTAGATCTATGTGTCTTGGGTTTTTACAGACGTGTATCAATCAGATGTGATTATTTACGTCTGGGGACCGACCTTTAAACGTCACCATCCGAAAGACGTGACTCAGTTTCGAACCTACGTCCTCGCCTGAATCAGTTTGTAACTTCCACTGTTAGCTGGATTACAGGCGCACGCCATCAACGCCTAGTTGTATGGAGGAGTAGCCTCCGCCTCCGCCGCCCCGTTGCGGTAGGGGCAAGGAGCTAGCTTGTCAGCGGCAGTCTTCACCTCGACCAAAGGCCCGTGGACGGCCGAGCTGCTTGGTCTTGGAAACAGTAATTTTACGCTAGAATCGAATACTAAATAACTAAACAATTCAAATAAATGTACACAAACTCAAATCGTGCATTCTACATACCCTGAGATTTCTATTCATAAACGAAAATCCCGGCACACTGCTCACGAAGAGTCGAACGCCGCAGCAGACTACTCAGCGCGTAGAACTTTTGTGTTTGCCGCCATGTTGCACAAAGATGACGTCATGGATGATACCACTACCAAAATACACCAGTTGGTTGTGGGGGCGGGCTGGGCGGGGCGGGGCGGCAAATAGGACCAGGGGCTTCAGCCCTATCTTGGTAAAAACAGTATCGCATGTGTACGTTTATGGCCTCCAGTTACAAATAAAAACACGGCTTTATAGATAAGTTGGAATTGGAGTGGAGTGCTCTTAACATTGCGATATTTTGTTCCCAGTATCTGACCAATGCAGGTCGAAAATCCAATAGAGACCAATAGAGACCATTAGAAAAAATCTATTGGTCTCTCATGGTTTCTGTTGGAGTCTATTGGTTTCTGTTGGACCCATAGAATTGAATCCAATAGAGACCATTCAAACCATCAGAAACCAATAGAAACCAAGGCCCATGGAAACCAATATAAATAGAAAACAATAGGACCAATAGAAAACCAATAAAACCAATAGAAGCCAATGGGACCAATATATATTACCAATAGAATTAAGAAACATAGAAACCAATAGGTCCAATAGAAACCAATAGAAACCAACAGCTAAATCTATCTCATGCATAATTCATGATTACTTTATACGTTTTCACAGAAAAATACATTTATCATAATTTGTTAAGTAACTTATGACCATGCACATCAATTTTGTGATTTTTATTTTATTTCGGCAATTATTGACCAATAGATTATTTGTCTGACCATGTTACAATTACATTCACGTTCTAGCAATAGATATATTGATTATAATGATTACTCACCAAGAAACAACATATATGTTTATTATATAGAATAGTACAAGCCTTAAGTTAAGAAAATCTTAAATCTTAATTTCACTTCAAGTGATCTTTGTGATGGAGTTAATGCAATTGAGACTTGAATATACCTTCTTGGTGGACAGTTGCTAAAATCGATTTTTTTTTATTTATCTTTATTGATTTACCAATAGAAGCCAATGGACTATTGAACCACTAGGGAATTCAGAATATGAGACCATTAGAAACCCATAGAAAGATCTCTAATGGACCGACAGGAACCCATAGAAAAAATCTAATAGACCAACAGAAAACCCATATAGTATACAAATATACACTGCCTTGAGAGGTTCTGGTTAAAACTATGCGCAAGAGGTGACTCCAATAGTACTATTTGCTGAGGGGCGCAGCCCCGAAGCAAATGGTACTTTTGGAGTCACCGAGGCCTATAGTTTAAACAGTACCTCGAATAGAAGGCATGGTATTTTGTTTTATATCCTGCATCAAAAAATTATTTTAAAAAAAAAATAAATAAATAAATCACATTTTGTTTTCAACTCCCAAATAGTAAACCAAAATAAAACTCTCATATAGTACTTTCTAAAAATAGGTCAAATATTTCTGGTCATGTGACAAGCTCTCAACCAATCAAAAGCCAACAAAGTTTTGATGCAGGATATAAAAGAAAAATATCTAATGGACCAACAGAAACCCATAGAAGACGTTTGTGGATGTTGGTCCAATAGAAGCTTTATGTTGGTCCATCAGCATTTATTTCTGTGGGTTTGTGTTGGTCCAACAGATATTTTGTTTTGGTTTCTGTGGGTCCAATATTTCACTTTCCCTATTGAAACCAATAGACACCAATAGCTCTAATGGTCCAATAGGCTATCGGATCCTATTGGAATTTCGACCTGTAGCGAAATGTCCTTATAACTGGTAATTTATATTTGTAGTATTTTCGAAATGAATTGCATATAACTAAATCATCAGTAATTAAGAAATATGCTGTAAATTCAGATAAACTGTTTAAAAAACATAGATCTGCACGCACCCCATATTCAATATGCAAATTAATTTGTGTCAGCTGGTTCAACTGGAAACATGCCAACAGTCAGCCCGCAGTCATCAACTGGTGCAACTGGAAATATGCACACAGACCGGTTATCAACTGGTGAAAATAGAAATATGCCAACAGACACGGGATTATCACCACGGAACTTAAATGGTAACTGTGAAACCATCAAGACACCCAGAAATACTCATTTTTCACACCTGGAAATCACGGAATACTCAGCTTAGATTAATAATCCGTTTGAGTCACGAGATCATCACCGCGGAACTGCTGGCAACTTTGACTACCATTTACATAGGTGTTTTAAGACACCTAGTAATTACTATTTTTTCACACCTAAATATCACGGATTCACAGCTTAGATTAGTAATCAGTTTTAGCTACGTGATCATCACCAATAAAGTTATGGTAACTTTGAAACCATTTAAAAAGGTGTTTTAAGACACCTAATAATTACTTATTTTTCACACCTAAAAGTCACTTATGCCCAGCTTAGATTAATAATCCGTTTGAGTCACGAGATCATCACCGCGGAACTGCTGGCAACTTTGACTACCATTTAAATAGGTGTTTTAAATTACTAATTTTTCACACCTAAATATCACGAATACACAGCTTAGATTAGAAATCAGTTTTAGCTACGTGATCATAACCAAGAAAGTTATGGTAACTTTGAAACCATTTAAAGAGGTGTGTAAGACACCTCAGAATTACTAATTTAATATAACCAGAGATTCACAGACAGAACAATAAGACGATTAGCCGGTGTAAGTAACGTGATTATTACCATCAACCTGGATAACCTGTGAAACCAATCGATTAAGGTGCTTACAAGACCGAATAATTACTTATTTATCACCACCATCGGTTAACGGACAAAAAACTCTTTGCTTGGTCAAGTGGTTATTTGGTCATAAACACGTGATTTACAGAGGTAAGTGGAATCACGTTACTCCAGTCGCGTGATAAACTGGTGGTTTTTAGGTTAGATGAAATCGTGAACAGGAGTACCTTTTTTTTTAAAATGAAAGCACGTGTCGATAACGTTTAAATTTAGTTCAAAGGGCACCATACTTTAAAATCACTTAAAATACACTTCCAAAAGAGGTTACTTTTTAGTGTTTTGTTTATTGGGATCAATCATTAAACTGAATACCTCATCGAATATTACATTAATCACAATGTTAAACACTTAAAAGTTCAATCTTATGTCATCAAAGGGATAAAATATAATAAACTATAATACATCAATCATTAAACTGAATACCTCATCGAATATTACATTAATCACAATGTTAAACACTTAAAAGTTCAATCTTATGTCATCAAAGGGATAAAATATAATAAACTATAATACATCAATCATTAAACTGAATACCTCATCGAATATTACATTAATCACAATGTTGAACACTTAAAAGTTCAATCTTATGTCATCAAAGGGATAAAATATAATAAACTATAATACATCAATCATTAAACTGAATACCTCATCGAATATTACATTAATCACAATGTTAAACACTTAAAAGTTCAATCTTATGTCATCAGAGGGATAAAATATAATAAACTATAATACATCAATCATTAAACTGAATACCTCATCGAATATTACATTAATCACAATGTTAAATACTTAAAAGTTCAATCTTATGTCATCAGAGGGATAAAATATAATAAACTATAAAACATCAATCATTAAACTGAATACCTCATCGAATATTACATTAATCACAATGTTAAACACTTAAAAGTTCAATCTTATGTCATCAAAGGGATAAAATATAATAAACTATAATACATCAATCATTAAACTGAATACCTCATCGAATATTACATTAATCACAATGTTAAACACTTAAAAGTTCAATCTTATGTCATCAGAGGGATAAAATATAATAAACTATAATACATCAATCATTAAACTGAATACCTCATCGAATATTACATTAATCACAATGTTAAACACTTAAAAGTTCAATCTTATGTCATCAGAGGGATAAAATATAATAAACTATAATACATCAATCATTTACCTCATCGAATATTACATTAATCACAATGTTAAACACTTAAAAGTTCAATCTTATGTCATCAGAGGGATAAAATATAATAAACTATAATACATCAATCATTAAACTGAATACCTCATCGAATATTACATTAATCACAATGTTAAACACTTAAAAGTTCAATCTTATGTCATCAAAGGGATAAAATATAATAAACTATAATACATCAATCATTAAACTGAATACCTCATCGAATATTACATTAATCACAATGTTAAACACTTAAAAGTTCAATCTTATGTCATCAAAGGGATAAAATATAATAAACTATAATACATCAATCATTAAACTGAATACCTCATCGAATATTACATTAATCACAATGTTAAACACTTAAAAGTTCAATCTTATGTCATCAAAGGGATAAAATATAATAAACTATAATACATCAATCATTAAACTGAATACCTCATCGAATATTACATTAATCACAATGTTAAACACTTAAAAGTTCAATCTTATGTCATCAAAGGGATAAAATATAATAAACTATAATACATCAATCATTAAACTGAATACCTCATCGAATATTACATTAATCACAATGTTAAACACTTAAAAGTTCAATCTTATGTCATCAAAGGGATAAAATATAATAAACTATAATACATCAATCATTAAACTGAATACCTCATCGAATATTACATTAATCACAATGTTAAACACTTAAAAGTTCAATCTTATGTCATCAAAGGGATAAAATATAATAAACTATAATACATCAATCATTAAACTGAATACTTCATCGAATATTACATTAATCACAATGTTAAACACTTAAAAGTTCAATCTTATGTCATCAGAGGGATAAAATATAATAAACTATAATACATCAATCATTAAACTGAATACCTCATCGAATATTACATTAATCACAATGTTAAACACTTAAAAGTTCAATCTTATGTCATCAAAGGGATAAAATATAATAAACTATAATACATCAATCATTAAACTGAATACCTCATCGAATATTACATTAATCACAATGTTAAACACTTAAAAGTTCAATCTTATGTCATCAGAGGGATAAAATATAATAAACTATAATACATCAATCATTAAACTGAATACCTCATCGAATATTACATTAATCACAATGTTAAACACTTAAAAGTTCAA